ATTTGCTTGACCTATCGCAAATAGTTCATTTCTTATTTTAAAATGAAATATTAGGATGTAACTTGCACGAAAATATCATTTTTTCTTTAAGGAAACCTCTGCTCGCTATTTTATAGAACTTCAAAGTTTTCTTCTTGTTCATACAAAAGATTGTTCTAAATTATATGAATATAACATACTCTGTAAGTTACTGTGATACTGTTCATCGCAATAACGCAATTTTGCATTATTTAAATGATGAAAATAGTTCATTGTTAAGTAGTCATTTCATTTATTTCAGATAATTATTCCCATCACTACACCACCATCACTATCATAATTTCTCCATCTATTCGCAATGTTGCCAAATCCTGGATACGTTGACTTGGTTTGTCAAATTCTTACTTACATACTAGCGCAAAAATGTGTGCAATCGGCACAGGATTGTCATGAAAATGCGTTTTGGAGGTTTTGCAAGTTTTTTGATGATTTGATGAAATGATCGTTGATCTTTATTTAACTATAATGTTGGACGATGATATGTTGGATGGACCTGGCGAGGTGGTCCAAATCGATGAATCGACGTTATTTTTATATGCAATGACCGCTGGTGCCTTTTGTATTTTTTGTCACGCGAGCCGCTGGTGCATTTTCCACTGTTAAGACACATACTGTTCGAAATTTAATCTAGTTTTTGGTGAATATTAAGACAACTTTTCATAAAACAAGCCATGCACAATAATTAAGACTATTATTTTGCAAATAACCTCATTTCTAATTACGTTTCGCCAAAAAAAGGTACAACTTGGCAACAATGTACATCATTTATCTTATCTGTCAAGAAATGAGCGTTATAAAATGGCCATTGGGAATTGTTTCTATACTAAATCTAGAAATACCTCAGTCTTTCCGTAGGAGAGAAAATACTATGAAAATCAAAGGCGTCCTACAATTGTAGGAGTTGCTGACGATACGGTCCTTCACTAACGTCTCGATTGCTAATTTTATTCTGTAGAGCTCCCGTACTATGACTGACTTCAAAAGAACAAACCTCTTCATGACAATGACGTGTTCCGCTTGCCAAACGGTAAGTACTGGCATGCCGGCGATCGGCGAGTTTGGATCTTCCAACGCTGCACTGTTGACGGTATCATTGGCGCCTATGACCAACACCAGGTCCGTATCTGGGAAATCGTCGTTGATCTCGTCCATCTCCAATACGTCGTCGTACGGTACACCGGCTTCAGCCAGCAGTACGTTTAGTTGACCCGGCATCCGACCTATAGAATACCTGTTTATACATTTGATACTACAGCATAAATAAGAGTATTGATTCACGATTCATCATGTAAAATCGTGAGCGGAAATAAAGGGTTGTCCAATAGGGACGCAGGAAAGTAAACGTCAATTTGACATAGACGCCATCTTTGTTTTCTGTCACCGACATGTCATTTTGTTAGTTGAATGTTTACCATTGATCGCTATGGAGTCGTATTCGATTGAAGACCGCATTAAAGTTATTCAAGAGCACTACAAAAATGGTGCAAAATAAAAAACACGTTTCGCGCGCTACGTGAACATTTCGGTCGCAACAAACCGCCCAAACGAAACAACCATCGGTCGTCTGGTGCGCAAATTCGAGGCAACAGGTTCTGTGGCAAATCTGCCAGGCTCTGGCCGGCCAAGGAGCGTTCGCACACCGGAAAATATTGCTGTTGTGAAGGAGAGTGTGAGAGACGATCCGAAACAATCAACAACGCGTCGATCCCAAGAATTGGGCATTTCGAGAACCAGTTTGCTCCGCATTCTCCACAAAGATTTGAATATACACGCCTACAAGATCCAATTGACGCAAGAGCTGCGTCGGCCGACCATTTTTCGCGCCGAACGTTCTCAGATTGGATACGCCAAATTGATGCCAATTTTTCATCAAAAATCATGTTCAGCGACGAAGCGCATTTCACACTGAATGGGACGGTAAACAAGCAAAACTGCCGCATCTGGCGAACGAAAATCCCCGTGAGTATCAAGAGCAGCCGATGCATCCTCAAAAAGTGACTGTGTGGTGTGCATTGTGGTCAAAAGGCATCATCGGACCTTACTTTTTCGAAAATGCGGCCGGGGACGCCGTTACCGTCAATTCTGAGCGATATCACGTGATGATAGAGGACTATTTTTTGCCGCAACTTGAAGGAATGGATATGGACGATGTTTATTTCCAACAGACGGGTGCAACATGCCACTCAACCAACGTCAATATCCATCGATTGCAGTCCTTCTTCGGTGATCGCGTGTTTTCGCGCAGAGGAAATGTGCCATGGCCACCAAGATCGGGCGATTTGACTCCCTTGGACTTCTTTTTATGGGGATATTGAAAAGCAAGGTCTACGTCAACAAACCAGCCACCCTCCAAGAACTCAGAAACAACATCATTGCCGAGATAAATGCCATAGAACCGACCATGTTGCAAAATGTCATTGAAAATTTCGACCATCGCGTGGACGTCTGTAAATCCAGTCGTGGTGAACAACAACGAAAAAGTCGCACTCCAGTTTTGTGACTCTCCTGGTATATTTTGGGAAAACACCCTCGGACACGTCAATTTTTATTTGTAAGCCCCCATTTTTTCAGTTTTTAGATTTTCCATGAAGTTTTTAGTAACTTTTGTGTAATGAAGTTTATACATGGCAAAAAATAATAATCATACCAGCAAGAACATTTAGCATCAGCCACTGTCATTGTATGTCATTCACTTCAAATTGTTAAGTTACCTACCTATAGTTGTGATAAATATTGAACAATGACTTATTCAATTCAAGTAAGGGTAGAAATAACAAAATTGTATTATCAAAATGGGAGCATTGCAAGAGCGATTGCCCAGCCACCATCTTAGAACCTTCATCTGTTATTTTCATGTCAAAATACAGTATTTATCACGGCTTGACTTGATCACTTCAAAAGATGAAGGGTAGACCTTTTTAAAAGCGCTGTAGTAATTCCTGGGAGATACATGTTTTAATAACTTCCCTAATCGACAGAGTTCAGCTATTTGCTGTGATATTTCACGAATGAAAAGAGATTATAAATCTTTTCTACAAACTCTAGAACTGTCTGCATTTTATTGTCTACTTCGATTATCGGTGTAATGAGCATTTTTGAACAAAGAAAATGTTACGTTCTAATCTGACCTTGACTTCACGTCATTTGATTTTCAAACCAAAATTCCAGAAAGCAATAAATTTTTTCGTTGAACATGTGAAATTTCGATATGACCTTGAATGTATTGGTGAAGGTCATGGTCAAAGATCACCTTCGGGTGACCCCCAAAGCATACAACTGTGCCGTCGAACATTTTTGCTAGAGCAAATCGTCGTTGGTATGACCTTGAATATGACGGTGGTACAGCCAAGGTCATACTCGTAAGTAGAATTTCTTTGTCTTTTCAATTCCTGTGTAAAAGTGAGTTCTATTTAAAAATATTCGCTTGACCTTGAAAGTCGCGATCAAGGTCGTGGTCAAGGTTACCCACATTTTGCCTCCTCGAAATCCTACAACTTGTGTTTGAATTTTTTTATTGTCTTTAGTGACGAGTCTCGATTTTGTTTAGGCATGCACGATGGTCGTGCCAGGGTTAGAAGGCGACGTGGTGAAAGGAGGAATCCACAGTTTTTTTGTTGAAAGACATGTTCATCACACTGTTGGAGTTATGGTTTGGGGTGCTATAGCTTATGGTTCCAGGTCACCTTTAATCTTCATCAGAGGTAACATGAACGCGCAGCGTTATATCCACGAAGTTCTAGAACCCCATCTTTTACCCTATCTTGACACCCTGGCAGATCCAACTTTCCAACAAGATAATGCCCGACCACATGTTGCAAGAGTCACAATAGACTTCTTTCAACATAATGATGTCACATTGTTACCATGGCCACCAAGATGTCCCGACTTATACCCAATTGAGCACGTGTGGGATATGATGGGTAGGAGATTGCTCAACTTGCAACGTCCTCCTCAGACTCTAAAGCACTTCGAGAAGTTGGTGGTTGCCTGGAATGAGATACCACAGGAGGACATTGACCACCTGATCAGAAGCATGCCTAGGCGCGTTGGAGAATGCGTAGCACATCAGGGTGCATCCACACATTATTAAAGGTCAAAGGGCTTTAAAGCAGTGCAATCATTTTGAAATTTTTATCATTTACTTATTATGCTTCATTAAGTACTAATACAAAATTTTATTAAAATAAAACCATTTAAACTGGGTGTTCGGATTTATATGTCACTTAGTATATATTACTATTGCAATTTTGTAAATGAAAATCTATATTTCCTCTTGTACAATTTGTGGTAATGATTATTCAATTCTATGTAGAGTTCTAAATGTTCTGGCAAAAGATGATTTTTTATTGTAAATATAAAAATAAGAACCAAATATGATATTACATTTTTTATATCAACCACTGCAATTTTGAGATAATGTATTCATAGTGATCCTCAAACTTTAGTTTACTATCAATATATATACCTAAATATTTCATTGATTCAACATTTTCAATTATTTCTCCATTTATCTTAACTGTGATAGTATTTTCATTTAGGTATTTCCCTATTAGCTTACATTTGTTTTAGAAGTATTCAATTTTAGTTTATTTACATTTAACCAATTTACGATTTTTGCGAGTCGCATTTAGCAGTGTCTATTTTTCATCTGATATGTATAGTAAGTATCATCTGCAAATATCTGAATTTTACATATCTAAAATATTACAAATCTCATTAATCTATAAAATAAGTAGTAGTGGACCTAGTTTACTACCTTGTGGTATACCAACAGGAATATCTTTTGATCTTGATAATGTAGATCCAATTTCGGTTTTTGACTTCTATCATTCAATAGTTTTGTAGAATTTTGAATACAGATCAAGTCGATAAGAAATTTGAAGAAACTGGATTTGTGTCCAACATTCGCCATAATCGCCGTCGAGAAAATCGAGCAGTAAGCCGCAGAAATAATAGTTTTGGGACAGGTGGAACTTGACAACACCCAAAGCACTTGTGGACTGGTTACTTCTTCAGGATTTACACAATCCATGAGTTTAATGAAGACGATTTTGATAGGAGGTTGGAGTTTTGCGAATAAATGATCTAACGTTTAATCATCAATGCAAATATGTTATTATGTTATTTAATATCTACCTCAATTATTGGTGGTAATGAGCATTTTTGAAGGCTTGTGAAAGAATATGATACGTTCAAATGTGACCTTGACTTCAGGGTCAAGATCATGTCAATGTTGAACGTAATTTGATTTTTAAACAAAAATTCCAGAAAGCAATAAAATTTTTTCTTTGAACATGTGAAATTTCGATATGACCTTGAATGTATTGGTGAAGGTCATGGTCAAAGATCACCTTCGGGTGACCCCCACAAAGCATACAACTGTGCTGTCGAACATTTTTGCTAGAGCAAAATCGTCCGCAATGTTTTTATTTGACCTTGAAATGACCTTGAATATCACAGTGGTCACAGTCAAGGTCATACTCGTAAGTAGAATTTCCTTGTCTTTTCAATTCCTGTGTAAAAGTGAGTTCCATTTGAAAATAGTCGCTTGACCTTGAAAGTCGCGATCAAGGACATGGTCAAGGTTACCCACATTTTGTAGAAATATTTAGGAGGGATATTAAAATGGGACACCCAAAGATTCAATCCAGGTTATGAACTTACAATTCAATAACAAAATACCACTCTACTACAAATAAGTAAATTAAAATTCAGTATCTAAATTACCTGCTACAGGATGTATGGCGAACCTAACATGCTTGCCCTGCGACTTCAATATAGAAACCAACTCTGCAACAGGGTACTGTGCTTTAGCGACGCACATGCCATATCCTGGCACGATGATGATATTTTTGGCATTCCTGATCACTTCAGCGGTACCATCTAAAGATATTTCGGTGTGAGTGCCGGTAATTTCCATTGGTTTCCCGGATCCTGTTGATGACGTCCCAAATCCACCGAGGATAACGTTCGGCAGAGATCGGTTCATGGCCTATCGAGATTAAAATTTATATAGAAAAAGGTGCTTTTATTCTTCAAAAACGAACTTAGATATGTATAAAACTAAAAACAACCTTAGAGATTACATGCACCCATACAGCACATTATTTTTTAGAGATATTTCTGGTGTATTACATAACTTTCACAATATTGCATATCAAAATTGGTATTTCGTACATCTTTCAGAAATTATGTAATGTCTCGCAACTTATATTTGAGAGACATTACTGAAATGAAGGATAATTCATATTGTTTCTGAAGTATCACTGATATATTTTAAATACTTCATGCCATTATTTGTATCATATTTAGCTTAATAGATCTTTTACATATATTGTTTTATTGCGTCCCTCGCAATATCACTGTAATAGGTATACTTTATCTGAAGTCACTTGAAACACTGTGAAATACCGGGTGCGTTTTATATATCTATATTTAACACGCTCTGTTGCTGCAAAAATCGCCAAATTTCGCAGCAAATATCCCCCGTATAAGATCAAAGGCAGTTTCACCGGTCCACGTGGAGTAAAGCACGCCTATGCGTGGACATAGCCAATGAGAAAGCGTGTATTTCAGAGCTCCGAACAAGTGCAGGTGGCTACTGAAAATTGAAACAGTTTAGCCAGTGCCGTGTAGCGGTGAATAAACGTGTTTTCTTTAGTCTGTCCGTGTTTTTTCATATTTTATAGTTTGTGTGTTTTTGACTTTGAATACTCAGTTTACTTGTTGATTTAATTGTTGTGTTGATTGTTCTTGTGTGTCGTAAATATGGCTCTTTGGAGACCTTGGGAAAATGCTCCAAGCCACGACGAGATGGTTGATGAACCTGTACAGGCAGAATTCTTTCATAAAGATTTAGAGGAACAGACCCAAAGCGTAATCCTAAATATGTATGATTGTCTGAAAAACGAAAATCCAGATTCCTCGCAAAATCAAATTTAAACAGAATTTGTATCCTGACAAAAATCAGTCGGTCTACCATTTATCGGGTTATAAAAAGGGGAGATGTAGTCAACCATTCCTTCCACAGAAAGCGATTAGGGCAAAATTAAAAAGAATAGACGTGGGTTTTCAGGAAGATATTCGTCGTATAATATACGGATTTTATAAAGAAAATTTGGTGCCCACGTTGGAAATGATACGGGATAAATTAAAAGATTATCCTGAAGATTTTTATAATTACAAATGCTTAGACTCCTGCACTGTATTGTAAAACTGTGTGGTTTCAATACAAAAAATTAGATAAAGAATGGTGATTATGGAGTCGTCTCGAATCGTTGAATTGCGCCAAGAATTTTAGCACAAAGTTAAAATCTATAGAGAGCAGAAAAGAAATCTGATTTACCTGGATGAAACGTGGTATGATACCCATGATGTTGTGCAGTACGGCTGGGTTGACGACAGCAACAAGTGCATTTTAAATAACACTATGCAACCGTGGAAACGAATCATTATTCTCCATGCTGGCAGTGAAAATGGATTTATACCTAATGCCTTGCTGTTATCTGCCAAAAATATCAAAGAATCATGTGCCGACTATCATGAGGACATGACCTTCGACTTATTTGGAAAGTGGATAGAGCAGCAGTTAATACCAAACATTTCCCCAAATTCAGTGATTATTATGTACAATGCGCCATACCATTCCCGACAGAAAAACAAAATTCCGAATACAGGCACAAAAAAACAAGACATTATTGATTTTATGAAGGATAAGGGAATGGAAATACCACAAAAATCAACCAATTGGATCTTATTAAAAGACAAAAATTTGAAAAAGAGTATGTTGTTGACAATTTGCTTCAGCAAAATGGCCATGAAGTATTACCTCTACCTCCCTATTACTGCATTTTTAACCCGATTGAGTTGGTCTGGGCTGCTTTAAAAAAAAAGTAAGAAAACATAATCAGACCCCTCAATTAAGTGAATCGCTATTGGCCACAATAAGAGATGCAGTACCTCATATTGCTGCCACAGACCTATGGAAGCAGTGTTCTAGGCATATTATTGAAAAAGAAAATGAATATTGTGTTTTGCCTCCTGTAAATCCCGTTGTAATTCCTCTACAAGATGACTCTAGCGACAGCTCCGAAGGCGAGGATGATATATAAATACCTATGATGTAAGTCTTTATATACCTTTTATATACCTACCTGCTATGTAAATATTTGCCTATGTCAAACGTTGGAATTCTGTAATTTTTCCATTTCTTAACTTTCAGTCAACATAAATTAAACTCCCAATATAAGTATTTTTTATCCCAAATCAAAAAAATAAGAAGATGGTAAAATCCATTTATTGTGATATAAAAACATTATTATTATCGTTCTAAATAAATGACCGCACGCCTATGATACGTCATGAAATTACAAAGGACGCGCCGACCAAAGGTTTTTATGCTATTTCAAGTGACTTCAGATAAAGAATACACGTGTACACATCAGTGGGTGTAGTTACGACGAAAAAGTAAAAAACAAATAATTTTTTGTACGTGGTAAATTATTGGCGAAAAAAGAAAACACCCACACACATCATAATATACAGGGTGTCCGCAAAGTTGGGGTTTTCCTTTACACGACGTGTAGATCTTGAAAACATAAGCAATTTTTTAGTACCATATACACCAATGTCTTAAGGGAACCGAGATAAAGGGCTCTGCAACATCAAAAATATCTGACTACCGTCCTGTAGCCGCGACATCCCCGAGTGGTACTAGGACACTAGCTCAACCCGACGACAGAACTGGGTCGGGGTCAGTGTGTCAGGTCAGTATGTAACCTTCAACCGACGGTTACGGTCACGCGTGTAGAGGTAATCGCGTAGACGAGAATCCCTCAACACGCACTAGAGACGTGGCTAGAGAAGTGCAAGTATCAAAAACTAAAGTGTGGCAAACGCTGCGTGAAGAGGGGCTGTATCCGTTTCACGTCCAACGTGTACAACCCCTTCAACCTGACGAATTTCCAGCAAGAGTGCGGTTTTGTGAGTAGTTGTTGCATCAACATGACAATAATCCGGACTTTTTGAAGTGCATATTGGTGACAGACGAATCTACGTTCACGCGTAATGGGGTGAATAACTTTCGCAACACTCATGTTTGGTCAGTAGAAAATCCGCACGCTGTCCGTCGGGCACATTTTCAACAAACATTTTCGGTGAATGTTTGGGCTGGCATGGTGAACGGTATGCTCATTGGACCATTTATTCGATTGGACGGGATGCAATACCTAGACTTTTTACGCAACATTTTGCATTCCTTGTTTGCCTGCGTCTGCTCGGTAGCGCATCAGCTGATTTCATTTTCTGTTGGAGCGGTATGATTTCGGGCAGAGACGCACTTAGCCCTTCTCGTCAACTGGAGAGTAAGTACTTTTTGCTTTATTTTTTTACTTGGTCGCCCTCGTTTCACTACACATTACCTTTGTTATTTCAAGGTTAGTTGTTTCTGAAAAGGAAAACCCCAACTTTGCGGACACCCTCTATAAGAACAGCTTATTTTAAATTAGCGCCATCAAAATTCGAACCTGCTATGTCCGAAGTTTCCAACTTAGCGGATGTTCTGCTAGATCTATTTGACGTCAATTGTACTTGTCGAAAAAACGGCAACTTTCGATAGCGGAGTGTTTAAACGGTAGACCTAGGTCTGCTCATCGCAAAAAGGTCGGTTTTAGATAAATTGTCGAATCACCGAATAGCTTATCATTACCTTTTTTTTTGTTTTTTTGTTTTAGTCGTGTGAGGGATTTGTGGCCGTTATCGAAAGCCAGAGCAAATATCAGGTAATACATAGACATGTGACTCCATTATTTAGAGGAAATGCAGGGCGATAAGTAACTGAGTGGTTTGTATCCTGAATATTTGTAAAATGAGATAAATTTTCTTCATCTTACTCTTTTATTGAAACTTAGAAACTATATGTATGAAAAATAATATCAGACAAATGTCTGCCTCTAGAAGCCGCCCAAACCTGAGCCCTATTGATTACATTTTCCATCTACTGTATGTAATAACATTATCAGATTTGATTGTTTGTTGATTGATATTTAGCAAAATAGCTTGACACAAATATTGCCTATTTAATAATAATAAAATTAGATGATTATTGATTTTTATGGAATCTGGTAAAAGTAAACTTGAGTTCCTGATTTTGAATTAACTGTATAAAATTTTCACGTATATCCCAGAGTATGAAGATGAATTAACTAAGAAATATTAAGAAGTCAGCTTTGTTATTAAGAATGTATTCTTCAACGTATCCATCTATTTATCTAAAGATATATCGTAAACGAACTCTTAAAAAGGGTAACAAATCATCCTAATACCACCAACATCTCAAATTTCACAGGATTTACTTCCGAAACCTATATAAAATTTTCAGTTTTTGCTATTAGTCAATGATAATTCGTTACCTTACACATGATGTATGACAAGATGGCACCTGACGATCCTATCAACGCTCCAACTATTGTCATTAGTTGGTTGTTTAACATAAAACCTTCAGCACACAATGCCCAGCCCGAATAGCTGTTCAGTACAGTGATAACTACAGGCATGTCAGCTCCTGCAAATAAAATCAATCTGTCAATCGGAATGAGTATCATGTAAAAAACCTATAAAACGTCAAAAAAAAATTATAAGATGTCATCTAGCAAACTAGGTAGGTTTTAGGGCGCGAACGTCATTCCACGTTTGCTCACTAGGATCGTTGTGAACGTCCATCTATCGAGGAATCACTCAACTAAACTACACGCATTATTGGTTGCATACGTTTTGTGAGGTCAAATGGTCGTTGTCTGTATTTTTTATCTCCGAGAAGAAAGCTGGTTGAATAACAAGATCGCATCTGGATGATTATGTGAATTGGTCTGCATGTGTATAAAATCAGTTTAAATGGTTTTATTTTAATAAAATTTTGTATAAGTACTTAATGAAGCATAATAAGTAAATGATAAAAATTTCAAAATGTTTGCACTGCTTTAAAGCCCTTTGACCTTTAATAATGTGTGGATGCACCCTGATGTGCTACGCATTCTCCAACGCGCCTAGGCATGCTTCTGATCAGGTGGTCAATGTCCTCCTGTGGTATCTCATTGCAGGCAACCACCAACTCCTCTCGAAGTGCTTCTAGAGTCTGAGGAGGACGTTGCAAATTGAGCAATCTCCTACCCATCATATCCCACATGTGCTCAATTGGGGATAAGTCGGGAGATCTTGGTGGCCATGGTAACAATGTGACATCATTATGTTGAAAGAAGTCTATTGTGACTCTTGCAACATGTGGTCGGGCATTATCTTTTTGGAAAGTTGGATCTGCCAGGATGTCAAGATAGGGTAAAAGATGGGGTTCCAGAACTTCGTGGATATAACGCTGCGCGTTCATGTTACCTCGGATGAAGATTAAAGGTGACCTGGAACCATAAGCTATAGCACCCCAAACCTTAACTCCAACAGTGTGATGAACATGTCTTTCAACAAAAAACTGTGGATTCCTCCTTTCACCACGTCGCCTTCTAACTCTGGCACGACCATCGTGCATGCCTAAACAAAATCGAGACTCGTCACTAAAGACAATACTGTTCCATTCCTGATCCCAGAGTGACCATTGTCTGCACCACTCAAGGCGATTACGTCGGTGTTCTCGAGTTAAAGGGAGAACCCAGTGTGGCCGGTATGAAAACAAGCCAAAACTTCTCATTCGTCGGTAAACACTTCGCATGCCAATAGGTCTTCCGTGTTCTGCAAACCATGCATTTGCAATGGACCTGGTAGTGGAGAAACGGTCCCTTAAGGCCAATAATCTTAGGCGGCGATCTTCACGGTCTGTTGTTCTACGGCGGCGTCCAGTGCCCCTTGCTCTTTGCGTACGACCTTCTCGAAGCCATGCCTGACAACACCTAACCACAGTGTCTACACTTCTTTGCACTCTAACTGCAATTGCCCGAAAAGAAAGTCCAGCTTCCCGAAGTCCCACTATACGGCCCTATCAAACCCACTAAGTTGACGAAATCGTACAGGTCTCCGTACTCCAGGCATCGTAACCGATCGTAAAGGATGTCAAGAACCAAAATCCGCCAACGTTGATTCTTTACTGCGGCTGAAATATTCATTTTTAGAGCGTTAGTGAATTAAGAAAAAGCAGTATAAAAACCGGAATGTCCAACTGATAAGGCTGAAAATTTTTTCACTTGTTATTTACAGTAAGATAGAAATATACACCAACTTTTATTAAAATAAAACCATTTAAACTGGGTGTTCGGATTTATATGTCACTTAGTATATATACTTAGGTATAGTTCATATACTTAGTGACATTAGAAGTGTTACACCCAGAAAAAATAATTTCAACATTTTTTTTGGCTACATAACTATATTTATAAAGCATGCTTTGTCAACAATATCTTTGTCTGACATCTGGCACAGCTCACCGCAATGTCTTTCAAAGAGATAATTTCCGTCATTTAATCTCAAGCTTTTCAAAATTTTTCAAGGCGTCTATTTAGATAACATCTAGTGCAGTCTCGCAGCCCTCGCTCCGTAACCATTGTCAAAGGTGTGTGGCTCTATCCGTAGCCCTTGGTTGTTTTGTCACTCAGACTATCTGTCAGGTCTCGTTGCCCACAAGAAGTGCATTCATTTAATTTAGAACTTGATGATGTGAAGCATTTGATATTGTAGAGTTTTTCTGGATCCTTTTTGGGTGTGGATTTCACAAAAAGAAATGCACTAATTTATTTAACTTGATAAAACATTTATCTGCACCACTATTTATGTCTGACTAATTCTTATGTCACCATTGACTGCACCATACTTCTCTCCGCTCTACCCACTCGACCGTGTTCCGTACTCTGCGTCCATTTCCCGGCCGCCGAGTTAAGCATCCCACAAACCGGCGCGAAATATTCGCTTTGGCTGCGAAAATTTCGCGGCGATGAATTCGCGATCAGATTAAAACGCGGCGGTTTACGGACAGGCTCAGACTTGTGCGAAGCGAATGCGATTGTTCCAGCGTTTTTATCGCGGCGTATTTCGGTTCGCCTTTGACCGCGTTTTTGACGCCGTTCTTCAAAAATTCGCAATGGCAAACACGGAATTATTGATAGAAATAGTGAAAAAGTATCCTTGTTTGTATGATTTGTCGAACGATGAATACAGGAATGTGAGAAAGAAAGACAAGATTTGGATGGAAATAGGAAAAGAATTAAATACAAATGGTATGTACCTAATATTTTTTATTAACTTGTTAAATAATTTACAGTCTACACAAATGTGAAAACGAACATTCTATATATTGGGCATAGGCATATCAGAATTAAAATAATTTACGAATTTGTCACGAGTAGAAAATGCTAGCCTTGCTGCCCGCCGAGGATCATTTGCTATATCAGTAAAAGCTCCAAGCACGGGTTCTGGGGGATCTAAGAATTGAAAATATTTGTCATCGCCACTTTTACTTCGTAAAAAATTGTGTAAAACACATGCCGTACGTACAATTAGAATAGTAGTATCTACTTTAGTTGCTAATGGCCTGTAAAATATTCGCCATTTTTGAGACAAAATACCAAACGCATTTTCCACGACCCTTCTAGCTCGACAAAGTCTTACATTGTATTTCTCTTTTCTGACGTCTGTTAAAGTCTTTTTATAAGGAAATGGTCTCATAAGGTATGGTTTTAAAGCAAATGCTTCATCACCAATTAAGACGTACGAGCAGATTTCATTTTGCCCAGGGAGAAATCTAAGTGCAGGGACACTCATTAAATTTTGTTCAAATCGTTTTCCCATGTTTGAGGTTTCGAAAATACCCCCATCACTATTTTTTCCGAAACCACCAATATCAACACATATAAATTTATAGTCCGGGCCAACAATGGCCATAAGTACTATTGAATATTTATGTAAATAGCACCAGTAATTGGAGCCACTGTTGTTAGGTCTCTTGATTGTTACATGTTTACCGTCCACGCTGCCAATGCAACTGGGAAATCCCCATCTATTTTCAAATTCTTCAGCACATTTTTTCCATATATGTATTATGTGTTGGTTCTGGTAAATATATATGTTCCATATGTCTGCATATCGCTTCACAGACTTCGGTTACGATTGCACTCACTGTTGTAAAGCCAACTCGAAAGCTATGCCCAATGGTATAGAAGGTGTCACCAGTGGCAAGGAATCTATAAAAAAAATCGTTTTTGGGTGATGAAGTAAAAAAAAGGTGGAAGAATATCAGAGACACATTTGCAAAATATATAAAATCTACCAAACCAAAGACCGGCCAAGCAGTGGGCAACATAAAAAAATGGCAGTGGGCTGACTACATGGAATTTTTCCGTCCTTGTTTGGCATTTGCCAAAACGTCGTCTAATGTGAAACATATTGACGTCATACATTATGAGACTGCCGAATTTAACTCAAATATATATCAGGAAAGGGCTGGAAATGTAGAAACCGAAAATTTGGAAGACCGCGGCCATGGAGAAGATGAAAATGCTGATGTAGATGCAGAAGATGCACAGAACGCCTCGGCAACATAGACAGCACCACCTTCTTCATTGAACACTACAGCAGTGACTACTTCAGGGCACACCTTTCCGCAGACTGCAACTACACCAAAATATAAAACGAGCAAAAAACGCTATGAACCACCATCTTCGTCTGTGCTCATTAATTATTTTGAAGGTAAAAAACCTGAAAAAGAGAACGAGGCCATTGATTCACTTTTCTTGGCACATGCACAGACTGTGAAAACACTTCCCTTAAAGCGTCAAGCCCGAATAAAACTAAAAATAGCCGAATTAATAACGCACGAAGAATTTGAACATATTGAATAAATGTCTTCAGCGTCTACCCAGAATTCTGCAAGTATGTATGATAGTAGTATGTCGTCCTTCCCAAGCGGCACTGGGTTTACTCCAATAATATACCCAACAGAGGAGGCAAATTCTGCCTCGAATTATTTAGCAACATTTAATCCTAGTGGCAACATGTAGTCCAATTATTACAATAAAATATTTATTTCACGATCCCTGAAGTTTTCGTATTCGATAAGCCTACTAATTTTAATACATATAATTTTTTTACCTGAGTGTAATAGCAAGTCGTTCTTCTGGCGAAATAGCTTCACGATAATTTGTGTCAGATTTTCGTATTTCATCTTTCACCAAGTTCAACATTTCATCGAAACACTCTGGAGTCATTCTAAAATATACGTAAAAGCGCTGTTCATCCAGCCGAAGTTGTGGCATCAAGGTATGATATTCCCCAAATTTATTTCATTCCAAGTTAATATCATGTACCCTCTTCCTTCGTTTCCTAAACAAAATTGAAAATATTTGTTTTATGTACTTCGTTAAACTTAATACATACCCAACTATCAAATGGCGTTAAATAAACATAACTTACCGTGCATCTTGTTCCTCTTCTAAAGCAAGAAATAGAAGTGCCTCCTCTTCTTCTGAAGACGAGCTCATTGCAAAAGGCAAAAATAAAATGTACGCAACCTGTCGAAACCTTCACGTTCGCGGAGCGAATAAGACGCTTTGGTATGAATAAATAGGCGAAACAGATTGCGAATTTCGCTCTGAATTTCGTTGCGAATACTTCGCCGCGATTATTTCGCGCCGGTTTGTGGGATGCTTTATGCTCGTATATAGTCCGAATTACCGCCACAGAGCGACATCTAGGATGTTGGAGATCGACTGTCACTGTCCTCACAGACGCCGCCGTGCGGCTTGTGCGCCGTGGTTCGCGTAAAAGCAGAGATCGGCATTTAGGCTCAGGCGAGTAGGAGACTCGCCCAACAGATGGCGCTATTCGTCACAATATTGAATGTTGTCAAAGTATGTGTAATTGCGAGCATTGCCCGATCGTCCCGTTGTTATTGAGAAAAATTTTGAAAGGAAATTACTGTCAAAATGTATAGCTACCTCCAATAGCAGCTGTGAGCGTGTAGCCCATGACAGATGAAAGAGCTGCGGTAGTTCCCAGTGCAGCCAAGCCGCCGTCCATGGTATTGTCGTAGAACAGATAGCCCCCTGCGCCTAGGTTAGCTAACAACAGAGCTGAGTTCAATGCGTGACGTCCTGGTAGAAGCAGCGGTTGCGACCTCATTATTCCCTGAAGTTTTCCGTATGCAACTAGTGAGCCGCTATACAGAAAATATCTTAAGTAAATAAAAAAACGCAGTATTGATCAAAGTTATGGTTTCGATCAGTTTCATTCCGGAATCCAAATTTCAGTTTCGGCAGAAAGTACAGGGTGCGGCAGAGAGGATGGACGGTTTTAAAAACATCATAATATAGTTAATTTTTACTCGACAACAAATTTATTGATGGAATCAGATTCACAAGGAAATAGCATTTGAGACAGTCGAGTGTGGAAAATCACATCAGGCATGTGGTGGCCGAGATCGTTGATGCAGTGCTGGAGGCGTTCTTGGAAGACTCTCTCCAACATCGCTCTCTCAACTTGGGCGACTTCCACGCGAATTTCGCCCTGCAATTCGTCCAGAGTTCGGGGCTTGTTCGCGTATACTTAGCCTTGAGGTGTCCCCGTAAGAAAAAATCGCATGTGGATAAATCTGGGGACCGAGGAGGCCAATGAACATCGCCAAACCTGGAAATAAGGCGACCAGGGAAGAGAGGGCGAATAACGTCCATGGATGCTGGAGATCCATATGCAAAATTCGCCTTACCGAACGATCACTAAGGCGAAGTGCAGCAGCATGTTTCCGGGCAGATCGAGTCGGACTCGTTCAACATTTTCAGGAGTTCGAACCGTTCGCGGCACTCCTCTTGGTCTTCTGTCGATCAGTTCGCCATGCCTGCGAAGTGATTCAACCCAACGAAGGATGGTGTTTCGAGAGGGAACAGCTCTATTCCGATGAATGTTGAAGTGGCGACGAAACTCACGCTGTACGACGATGACGGACTCATTATTTGGACGAAACAATCATAGGCGAAAACCGTCCAAGGCTCCATAAGGACAACTGGTAAAATAATGCTAGGATCTCACGAGTCAAACGGTACCCTCCCCACCTCTCTCGTAGACGGAGGCCGAGAGTACTACCCATCCCAAAAACGTCCGTCATCTCTGCCGCACCCTGTATAAACCACGAAGGTTGTCTTAAAAATAAGTTCCTAACCCTGTATCCTTGCGGCGGATGATTCTAGGTGAAATCTGGCAACACCGTCGTGTTTGTCGGCTCCCCTACCATCGATCCCAACAAGAAGCGCCTATTGGCGACGCTCAGTACCGGCCTAACAGTCATGCGCAATAGAAAAAATTGGCGACTATGCAGAAAAATAGCTTAAAGATCAAAGTTTCTAGTGGTGCATTCGTTTTTCCAAATAAAAAATTCACTATACTTCAAAAAAATGTGGAACCCTTATTTTGAGACAACCTTCGTATAGGTATTTATCTTCATTTGGCATTTATGTTCATAGAAGTTTGGGATGTATTAGTAGACGGAAATTCCTAATGTGGATCGATGAAATTAATTCTGATAATATAGATAATGTAAAAATAAGTTTCAAAATTTTATTCAGCCAACAAACAAGTTACAATCGTTTCTTATCATTTGAAATACTGTTGTCTGGATATAATTGAGAATCTAACATCTTGGACTTCGAAAGTAGTTTAGATAGCATACACAACTCGTACGAGGGCGGTTCAATAAGTACCCGTGTTTCACGATAGAGGGCGTTCCTGAGGGAAGTTAATGTTATCATCGTGTGCTGCCACCTATCAAACGGTGGCACAACAAATTTCAGTCTGATTGATAGGTTAGTTTGGATTTGGCATTCGAGTAACACGTGTTTCGTGGTTTTCGCTAAGATGGAAAAAGAGCAGTATCGTTCGGTAATTCGCTTTCTGTTTTTGGATGGGAAAAATGCGAGGAGATAAAAGCAAAGTTGGATGCTGTCTATAGGGACACTTCGCCATCCATGACCACAGTTAGATACTGGTTCAACGAATTTAAACGTGTACGAACCTCCGTTTTTGATGAGGCGCGACCAGGACGCCCGGAGACGTGGTTACCGAGGAAATGATTCAAAAAGTCCACGACATGATGCTCGCTGATCGACGAACGAAAGTGCGCGAAGTAACGGAGGCCGTAGGTGTGTCGACCGGAACGACAATCAATATTTTGCATGATGAGTTGGCTATGAAAAAATTGTCTGCCCGATGGGTGCCGCCAGAAACTAAGCAACAATCAAAACAATGGATTTCTCCCGGTGAATCTGCTCCAAAGAAGGCGAACACGGTCCCATCGACCGGAAAGGTCATGTCGACGATTTTTTGGGATGCGAACGGCGTCATCCTCGTGGATTTTTTAGAAAAGGGAAGAACGATCACTGGACAATTCTATAGTGAGTCATTGGACCGCTTCGACAAACAATTGAAGGAGACACGGCCACATTTTACGAAAAAGAAGGTGCTCTTTCACTACGATAACGCACCAGCAAATTCATCCGGAGTTGTCGCCGCCCAACTGCACGAATTGCGTTATGAAGTGCTGCCACACCCCCCGTATTCACCCGATCTGGCCCTCTGCGACTTTTTCTTGTTCCCTGCCACGAAGAAATGGTTCGCGGGGAAAAAATTATCTCAAACGAGGAAGTCATCGCCGAGACAGAGGCGTATTTTGGAGAATTCGACAAATCCTATTTTTGAGCGGGAAAATGGCAGGAACGTTGGGAAAAGTGTATCTTTCTAAAAAGGGATTATGTCAAAAAATAAAAGGAATTTTGTTGGAAAAAAAACGCTGTCTTCATTCTTAACACGGGTACTTATTGAACCGCCCTCGTAAATCACGTTTATCCATAATTATTAAAAAATAATTCGGCAGCCAAAAATTCATATGGAAGGTTTAAAAAAATGTGGGAACCTTATTTCTGGGACAGCCCTCGTAAGTACTCGTTCGAGATTTTAAAGCATGCTTCGGCGGTAATACGTATATAATTTTGATTTTTAGAAATAGTAAAATTGGAAAAGATCTCACCTAAATGTGACTCCGCCGATGTAGGTACCTAGGAATAGAGCTGTCTTAGTAACACCCATTGCAGGATCGGTCGCAAACGATGGGAAATCATGCATAAAGGTAGCCATACATGTGAGTACTGCCGCTAATCCTACCAAACTTAAAACGAGTCATAAGTGTGAATTACTTCAGCAAAATCTGAGGGAGTACGAGTTAAGCCTAAGGCATACGCTATGATCAATTTACGAGAGTTACATTTTTAAAGTAGAGGCTAAAAATCGGTGTCGTAGAAATACGAATGGGCAAAAATAATAGTGCTTTTTAAAACGTATTAACAAAATTTCCTTGGGATCATCATAGCAGCCGCGGTGTTCCGGCATTTAGGCTTCTGCCTGAGCGGCTGCTTCGATATATATATATATATATATATATATATATAACTTGAGACGTGGTCATTGTCGTCTAGACCAGTTAGGTGAAAAATTAAAGCTTCCGCCTTTTGTTGGGTACTTCGACAAAATTTAAGCAAAGAGGACTCTTTATACTTTTTTAATTCTCTCTAGCTTTCAATGGACTTTGCCATCATCATCAGGAGCTGCAATTACAATGATAACAGTAGCAACAATAGTGTAAAATGAATTTAAATTGACTCAACTTACAGTAGTATGTGAGGATGTTGCTAATTGTTGTTTACGTATAGGATGAGGGAAACGTCCAGTAACATGGTGAGAGCTGGATAGATGGTACAATGGTCAAAATTATATAAAATATGACAAGAACAAGTTAAAACAGATTAAAAATTATTTAAAACGTTAAAGCATTACATCGTGAAGCCACTTGATGATTGCACAAAATGGTGGTCATGGAATAATGAGTGAGATGAACCCTTTGACAGAAGACCGAAGGTTGTCAATGTCTGTGTTGAAAGATGGAACGAATTGTGGGCGCGTGCCAACGTTGCCAAATTACTTCAGATGATGTGATTTTCAGAATGTTATGTAAGAAATTGTTAAACCGACCAGAGGCAGTTGAATAAACTATATTTTAATTAATGGGAAATTAAATTAACAATTATTATTAAATCGTGAGAAGAGAATTATTAGAATTAGAGTGGAATGAAATTTACTGGTGGAATCGACCAAGATACAGATTCTATTTATGGTTGTGAAGAGTCGAAATTTGGGGAGATATGTAAGCTCTCCAATTTTTCCCAGTTTAGCAAATATGAGTAAATGACACTCAGTTGTTTAACATCTGTCGTTTTGTTGATACAGTTGTTATTCATGAAAATGTGGGACATTTCCAGGAATAAACGTTTGGAAAGGTGTTTTTCTTTATCAACAACTTTGATACTTGTGTAATTCATAGAATGCCCTGTTGTGTTAACATGAGATGCTAGAGCGGATCTTTCAGGATGAAGCCTAGCATCACTTTTGTGTGATGTAATCCTTCCTTTAAGAGATCTGGAGGTCTGACCTATGTATATTTGGTTGCAGTTGTTGCAATTGATGGAGTAGACTGTGTTGGTTAAGCCAAGCAGCCAGGTCGGTTTAACAATTTCTTACATAACATTCTGAAAATCACATCATCTGAAGTGATTTGGCAACGTTTGGCACACGCCCACAATTCGTTCCATCTTTCAACACAGACATTGACAACCTTCGGCCTTCTGTCAAAGGGTTCATCTCACTCATTATTCCATGACCACCATTTTGTGCAATCATCAAGTGGCTTCACGATGTAATGCTTTAATGTTTTTAAATAATTTTTAATCTGTTTTTAACTTGTTCTTGTCATATTTTATACAATTTTGACCATTGTACCATCTATCCAGCTCTCACCATGTTACTGGACGTTCCCCTCATCCTATACGTAAACAACAATTAGCAACAACCTCACATACTACTGTAAGTTGAGTCAATTCAAATTCATTTTACACTATTGTTGCTACTGTTATCATTGTAATTGCAGCTCCTGATGATGATGGCAAAGTCCATTGAAAGCTAGAGAGAATTAAAAAAGTATAAAGAGTCCTCTTTGCTTAAATTTTGTCGAAGTATATATACATATATAAACGTTTTGTGCGAGTCAGTAACGCAGACGAATGATTACGAGAAGCTACTATTTTTGAAAATCCGCGATGAAGATGCTTTGTTATTCAAACGAATTCCTGTTATTCAGTCTGTAGTGAAATAAAATAACAAGGTGAAGGACGAATAGGAATACAACTTACCTATGAAACGCTGCTACTAACTGAGGCAGGTCTGTGATTTCGATTTTTTTCGCTATGACGGTTCCAATAATTCCACCGCCAATCGCCGCAGCGGCCATCTGGGCCAGCACCTCATGTGACGGCGAAATATAACCGACAGTCGCTGCTATGCCACCAGTTACACCCACCTAAATAAGAAGCTTTTGAAAATGTTCAGTAACCCAAAGTGAAAATGATTGGAAACGATATACAAAATCAAGAAATCAGTGTGTAGCAGTTCTCAGGAGGGAAAAGAAAAAATACTATGATAAGAAGATCGATAGCAATAAAAATAATTCTAAAATGATGTGGGAAAACGTTAAAGAATATTGTTTCTCCTAAAAGAAAGACTGAATTATCTAAAATGCGTTTCGAAGATGGGGTAGTGACACACAAATTAATTATAGCAGAAAGTGTAAATCAAATAGTGAATACGATTGATGACGGTGATCCAAACTTATGTCCATTACAAGTATGTCAGAATTCATCAATGAAGCAATTTAGGGCAAATAACATCAACAATCTAAGACAAGCTATCTCAAAATCGAAATCTAATAAAAATCCAAGTGAGAATCTTTCAAAAAATATTCTAAATGATTGATTCAATATAATTGGAGAGACATTATTATTATTGGTGAATCATTGTTTAGTACATGGTGGATTCCGATCAAAACTAAAGTGTTCCACTATTACTCCTGTGTCAAAAGTTCAAAATTCTGAGATGTATACAAATATGCGACCGATTAATGTCTTGCCCGATGTCGAGAAGGGATAATATACGAACAAATCAGAGAATTCATCGAAGAAACCAAAATTTTGATAAAAAATCAAGCTGGATTTAGAAAAAAATGTTCTACAGAAACGGCAATCCAAATGGTGGTGAAAGAAGTATAGATGAGAAGGAATATATTGTAACAATATTTTTAGACTTCAAAAGGGCATTTGAGACTATATGTAGGGAAAAATTGTTAAAGAAATTGCGTCACTATGACTCTAAAGAATCAGAATTACACATTTTACAAAATTATTTACTAAATAAAAGTCAAAAAACTAAAGTTGGAAATATTATGTCAACTGTTCAAAATATATCAGTAGGGGTGCCACAAGGGAGTAAATTAGGGCCGTTACTATTTATTATTTGTATAAATGATATCTCTGACATTTTAGAACACTGCAAAATTCAAATATTTGCGGACGATACACTGATATATATATATATATATATAGAATATGATCATGCGGAGAAAAGTATATAACAAGTAGGAAAATAATGGGCAAAATCCGCAAAAAGGAGGAAAGTGGATTCGAGCAGAAAATAGGATAGGTAACCCGAGCGATACGTATTTCTGCTGGTTGGCTTCATCAGGCCCGAAATGAATGCACATATGAAACTACAAAAGTAGATACACATGCCCCCACATCCGGATACGGGTGTAACTTGAGAAAACGAAGTTTTTTTTTCCCTCCAAGTTTTTTTTCCCCCTCCAACTTCGTTTCCTCAGGTTACACCCGTATCCGGATGTGTGGGCATGTGTATCTACTTTTGTAGTTTCATATGTGCATTCATTTCGGGCCTGATGAAGCCAATCAGCAGAAATACGTATCGCTCGGGTTACCTATCCTATTTTCTGCTCGAATCCACTTTCCTCCTTTTTGCGGATTTTGCCCATTATTCTCCTACTTGTTGTTATATATATATATATATATATATATATATATATAACTTGAGACGTGGTCATTATCGTCTAGACCAGTTAGGTGAAAAATTAAAGCTTCCGCCTTTTGTTGGGTACTTCGACAAAATTTAAGCAAAGAGGACTCTTTATACTTTTTTAATTCTCTCTAGCTTTCAATGGACTTTGCCGTCATCATCAGGAGCTGCAATTACAATGATAACAGTAGCAACAATAGTGTAAAATGAATTTAAATTGACTCAACTTACAGTAGTATGTGAGGATGTTGCTAATTGTTGTTTACGTATAGGATGAGGGAAACGTCCAGTAACATGGTGAGAGCTGGATAGATGGTACAATGGTCAAAATTATATAAAATATGACAAGAACAAGTTAAAAACAGATTAAAAATTATTTAAAAACGTTAAAGCATTACATCGTGAAGCCACTTGATGATTGCACAAAATGGTGGTCATGGAATAATGAGTGAGATGAACCCTTTGACAGAAGGCCGAAGGTTGTCAATGTCTGTGTAGAAAGATGGGACGAATTGTGGGCGTGTGCCAACGTTGCCAAATCACTTCAGATGATGTGATTTTCAGAATGTTATGTAAGAAATTGTTAAACCGACCAGAGGCAGTTGAATAAACTATATTTTAATTAATGGGAAATTAAATTAACAATTATTATTAAATCGTGAGAAGAGAATTATTAGAATTTGAGTGGAATGAAATTTACTGGTGGAATCGACCAAGATACAGATTCTATTTATGGTTGTGAAGAGTCAAAATTTGGGGAGATATGTAAGTTCTCCCCCTAATAACGGAACTTATGTAATTCCCAACAATAGCATCAATCCAAACAGTACAAGCACCAACAAAGACTCCAGACCTGGTTTTGCTGTCCTGCCATATATCAAGGAACTGACCCCTAAGTTGATCAGATTGTGTAGTCCTTTGAACTTTCGAATTGCTTGCAAATCCGTCCTGACTTTAAACTGCATTTTTTCAAAAATGAAAGACAAAGTCCCGCTGCTTGGCTTAACCAACACAGTCTACTCCATCAATTGCAACAACTGCAACCAAATATACATAGTTCAGACCTCCAGATCTCTTAAAGGAAGGATTACATCACACAAAAGTGATGCTAGGCTTCATCCTGAAAGATGCGCTCTAGCATCTCATGTTAACACAACAGGGCATTCTATGAATTACACAAGTATCAAAGTTCTTGATAAAGAAAAACACCTTTCCAAACGCTTATTCCTGGAAATGTCCCACATTTCATGAATAACAACTGTATCAACAAAAAGACAGATGTTAAACAACTGAGTGTCATTTACTCATATTTGCTAAACTGCGAAAAATTGGAGAACTTACCTATCTCCCCAAATTTTGACTCTTCACAACCATAAATAGAATCTGTATCTTGGTCGATTCCACCAGTAAATTTCATTCCACTCAAATTCTAATAATTCTCTTCTCACGATTTAATAATAATTGTTAATTTAATTTCCCATTAATTAAAATATAGTTTATTCAACTGCCTCTGGTCGGTTTAACAATTTCTTACATAACATTCTGGAAATCACATCATCTGAAGTGATTTGGCAACGTTGGCACACGCCCACAATTCGTTCCATCTTTCTACAGAGACATTGACAACCTTCGGCCTTCTGTCAAAGGGTTCATCTCACTCATTATTCCATGACCACCATTTTGTGCAATCATCAAGTGGCTTCACGATGTAATGCTTTAATGTTTTTAAATAATTTTTAATCTGTTTTTAACTTGTTCTTGTCATATTTTATATAATTTTGACTATTGTACCATCTATCCAGCTCTCACCATGTTACTGGACGTTTCCCTCATCCTATACGTAAACAACAATTAGCAACATCCTCACATACTACTGTAAGTTGAGTCAATTTAAATTCATCTTACACTATTGTTGCTACTGTTATCATTGTAATTGCAGCTCCTGATGATGACGGCAAAGTCCATTGAAAGCTAGAGAGAATTAAAAAAGTATAAAGAGTCCTCTTTGCTTAAATTTTGTCGCAATGGAACCCTTGATCGCCGTCACCGCCAGGTGCGAAATTTTTTGTGCCTAAATATGTCACCACCCATAGAAATTCATCAAGCGGGAGGCGGTCGATCTTCCGAGGAAGTTATGGCGAAGAAATCTGGCTCGAACATCCGGAAACAGGAGGTTGAAATTCCCGAAACTTCTGAAAAAGATGAGACGGGTAATTCAAAATCGTCAAAAGGGAAAACTCTGCAATGCGTGATTGAAGGGAGCAGTTACCAAGTTTTTACCAGGCGCGAGTGAAAAAGTGGATTCTAAAAAATGCGTAGAAAATATGGCGACTATGTAGAAGAATATCGTAAATATAAAATATAAATAATAAATTAAAAATTATTTGTGCCTGAAAAAAGAAGTGGGAACGATATTTTCGAGATAACCCTCGTACATGTCATGTTACGTCCAAAAACCATAATACCTCATTTTTGAAATATTTCGCCAATACAATACATTTTTAGAAAACAATTGTAATTCCTTCTAATAGTTTTTTTAAATGTTTCAAATGAAAAAAAAAATCAAATAGGCAAAGTCGATGTCGCCCATAATAGACTATTGCTTTGTTCGCACAGTGGCCGGTGACTTGTTGCTGATCGGGCCGTGTGAATACCATTTATACAGGGTATCCGCGAAGTTGGGGTTTTCCTTTACACGACGTGCAGATCTTGAAAAGATAAGCGGATTTTCTTTGTAGTTTATACTCGTACACCAATGTCTTAAGAGAACCGAAATATTGGGCTCCGCAAATTCAATCAAACGTGAACCAAACCGAAGCCGGTCCTGTCCCTCGATCACGTCCACATCGCCAGCGCCAGCGTACAGTAATACGACGTACGACTACGATGTAAATACGCTAGTTTGGAACGTAACCTAAACGCCGATAGTGCGTGAGTTCTTAAATGAATCATCTAACGGCAACAACTTCGAACGTACTTATACTTTCACCAAGAAAAAATGACACCGACGTCATAATTTTGATCTTCGATTTTTGGTTACATGTGCTCCTCGGATTTTACGACAGAGCCGTACTCGGAATTTCAATTCAACTGGACAGTGAGTATTTTTTCATCAATTTTTTTTTTACTTGTTCTGAACTGTACCGAAAATGAAAACCCCAACTTTGCGGACACCCTATATAGCGTAGTAGAATGAACGGAATTTGAGTGGCGGGATCTTGGACACGATCACTGACAAGTTGGCGACAGCTGTACGAACATGGCTTATGTATTTGATTATACCAGTGAAAATACACATACAATTCCCAAACTGTTTCCCATCCGAGCTGTAGCCTGAGAGCTGAGACCTCCCAGAGCGCCGACACAGCACAAGGAAGCAGCTAAATATGAGGCTTGGTGGATCTCTGGCAGTCCTTGATGAGCGGCCCATCCGTACATTCCCAAGAACGCCAATGCTGGTACTGAATAGACATAGTTGTGTTCGGGAGGGTCCTCCGGTCTGAAAAATCACATTTTTAATTTCGGTGCTGCTTCTAACTGATACTGTAGCGTTTTTTGGGTTCTTTTGGGTGTGGATTAAAATACTGGATACCACAAAAAGAAATAGCACTAATTGATGCCGCGTAAATAAGAATCATGTCCACAAGTTCAGCATTTTCGTAAACATGTGCCATTTTTTATTTCGTTTGAGCCACGCAACAGACACCACTATTCACTCACGCGTTACCGACTGACACTGACTGTATACAACTGAATAAAATAATTGTAAAAACATCGTTCCAAATTCTTTCGCTTTTTTGTTTCCGATGCGATGAACCGATAAGGCGGATTATATCCGTTGTTGCCAAACACGAGCACATAATATTATTATTGAGACAGGGCGGTACTCAAACTTCTAAAGGGCTATAACTTTGTTACTTTAATTTTACCAGAAAAATGTTAAAGGAAAAAAACATTTCTTTTGATCTGATCTACTCACTGTTAAAATAAATGACTCAACTTCAAAGTCAGCCTGTATATACAGGGTGACTTTGAAGTTGAGTCATTAATTTTCAGATAATGATTGTAGAAGGAAGATAAACCAAAATATGTGTGTAAAAATAAAAAAAAAATAAAAAAAAAAATTTACCTTGTTTTATAAAGTATCCTCCCGACAAGTATTTCAGTGCGGACCTGTATTTGATCGTGAGGTCTTGGAGCATCGGCATGCCGTCCATATGTGAGGTCTTAAGTCAAATGATTCACGAACCCGTTGTACTACATTAACAAAGGCACGAGGGGTTGGTTGCACTCGATTGGGAAACCGATCCGCATAAACATGTGCCATTTTTTATTTCGTTTGAGCCACGCAACAGACACCACTATCCACTACCGACTGACACTGACTGTATACAACTGAATAAAATAATTGTAAAAACATCGTTCCAAATTCTTTCGCTTTTTTGTTTCCGATGCGATGAACCGATAAGGCGGATTATATCCGTTGTTGCCAAACACGAGCACATAATATTATTATTGAGACAGGGCGGTACTCAAACTTCTAAAGGGCTATAACTTTGTTACTTTAATTTTACCAGAAAAATGTTAAAGGAAAAAAACATTTCTTTTGATCTGATCTACTCACTGTTAAAATAAATGACACAACTTCAAAGTCAGCCTGTATATACAGGGTGACTTTGAAGTTGAGTCATTAATTTTCAGATAATGATTGTAGAAGGAAGATAAACCAAAATATGTGTGTAAAAATAAAAAAAAAATAAAAAAAAAATTACCTTGTTTTATAAAGTATCCTCCCGACAAGTATTTCAGTGCGGACCTGTATTTGATCGTGAGGTCTTGGAGCATCGGCATGCCGTCCATATGTGAGGTCTTAAGTCAAATGATTCACGAACCCGTTGTACTACATTAACAAAGGCACGAGGGGTTGGTTGCACTCGATTGGGAAACCGATCCGCATAAACATGTGCCATTTTTTATTTCGTTTGAGCCACGCAACAGACAAAACTATCCATTACCGACTGACACTGACTGTATACAACTGAATGGAAATAATTGTAAAAACATCGTTCCAAATTCTTTCGCCTTTTTGTTTCCGATGCGATGAACCGATAAGGCGAATTATATCCGTTGTCGCCAAACACGAGCACATAATATTATTATTGAGACAGGGCGGTACTCAAACTTCCAAAGGGCTATAACTTTGTTACTTTAATTTTACCAGAAAAATGTTAAAGGAAAAAAACGTTTCTTTTGATCAGATCTACTCACTGTTAAAATAAATGACTCAACTTCGAAGTCACCCTGTATATATATAAATGCAACTTTCCATATGGCAAACTAAAAAATTATTTTCCGTATTCAACCGTACTCATGTAAAAGGCAGTAAAGTGTGACAATCGAAAAAAATTAGTTCAAAATTCTGTATTCGAACAGATTTACATGGTATCATTACGACACAATAAAAGAGAATGAATAATGATAAGTTACGTGACTTAGAAATAGAGATTTTAATTGTTGTCCAGGTCTAAAATAAATGACATTCCGTATTTAGTTGTCGTATTGTTCTAAATGAAAATGCAGCAACATGTGATTTACTGCTTGTATACTCAGTCACCCTGTATATTTAGCAAATAATTCCATTTTTGAAAGACTACAAATTTTACAAAATAAGTGCATGAGAATAATACTGAATTAAGCTAAGTATTCTCCAATTAGGCAAATACTTAGCAAATTAAAATGGCTCAATGTGAAAAAATTTTATCAATTATCTTGTAATGATATTCATTAATATTGAGATATTAAGATTTTTTAAAATTATATTTTCTCTATTATTAAATTGTGAAAGTTGCCATTAGATATACAGGGTGATTCACAAGTCGTGACCAAAAATGAAACATCATACACAGGACCATATTAAGGTAAAACTCGAAAAACAACACGTTTCGAAAAAAAACAGTGCCATAGTCAAAAAATGCAAAATTCAAATTTTCGCCGATGACACTATGATTTATATAAGTACTAAAAATATTCAGTCTGGTATCTCTTATATAAATGAAGACTTGAAGCTTGTCTCAAAATGGTTAGCATCCAACAGACTAAAATTAAATGCAAGTAAAACGAAAGCCTTGTTAATCGGAAAAAAACAATGTACAAATGTTCAACTGAATATTGATGGTGAAGATATTGAATTCGTAGAAAATTTTAAATACTGGGAGTTTTTGTTGACTCTCGATTAATTTTTGATATTCATTATGAAAAAGTTATAAATAAGATTAGTAGTAAAGTGGGATATTTATCGAGAGTTTCTGGATGTCTGAGTTCATATAGCAGAAAAATTATCTATAATACCATCATTCTTCCAAATTTCTTGTACTGTTCGACTATTCTATATTTAGCAAATAATTCCATTTTTGAAAGACTGCAAATTTTACAAAATAAGTGCATGAGAATAATACTAAATAAAGATAAATATACTCCAATTAGGCAAATGCTTAGCAAATTAAAATGGCTCAATGTAAAAAATTTTATCAAATATCTTGTAATGATATTCATTTATAAAGTAAAAAATAATATATTTCCATCAAGTCTAACTAATTTAACATCATCAAATGTCGACCATCATTTACATAATACCAGAAATAAAGATGACTTCCATTTAATGACCAAAAAGTATAACATATGCTACAAATCTGTATTCCATCAAGGGTTGATTGAATATAATAAATTATACTCGGAGATAAAAGACCAGAAAACTTTGACAAAATTTAAAGTAAAATTGAGAAGTCACTTGTTAAATCTACAATTATAGGTTGCCCAGCATTTACATCATGCACCATATGGCTTGAATTTACTAGTTCTAAGTTGTTTACAATTATTCTGTTTATGTAGCCAAATGTGCTAAATAAATCTTTCTACTACTACTACTTTTATTTGGAAAAATAATGCTACTAATCCCTTGTATCTCCGTCACTGGTGCACGTTAATTTTGAGTAAAGACTTTTGAATGTGGACTTGGGTAAATCCACGTACCAAATTAAGTCCATTCCAGTTGACGGTTTTGAAGATATTAAAAAAATTGTTTTTTATTTTTAAACTTCAACACACATCTTTTTAATGAAACCCTCGAGAAAAAAATGTTACATAGACGACCCCCCTTAAAATACGATCCTGTGATGTTTCATTTTTCGTCACGACTTGTCAATCACCCTGTATAAGACAAAAGTTTGTCAAGCGGTGGTACTGCCACCTGGGAGTAGCCGTTATTTGGATATCTAAGAGGGTGATTCCTTGTTAAAAAACATGAATAACAGTTTCTATAAACATGGGTCCGGAAATGCCGTCAATATACAGGGCGATACAATTATAAGCCACTTGTGATATTTTTAGCAAAAACTGGTAAACCAATTTTGTCCAGTGACATGCAAAAATACGTTTTTTTCTCTAGAAAACGAAGTGAAATACGATAAAAAAACACAAGGCAACGAAGCTGTATTTATTTATACGTTTAATCAAACAACAAATATTAAAGATACAAAAAAGGCAGTGGCGTTCATTTTTTGCTAATAATATTCGGTAAGGTGCCCCCCTGGACGCCACTGAACCTAATAATTTTCATCTATTTAGAGCTAAACTAGCCTCTTAATACAACAAATAGTACTGCCAAATCTCAAACGAATCGAGTAAATATTTGTAAGTTATTATTAAAAAATATTTTTTTTATTGTATCTTGAAAATTTTCGGACCATGTTCATAAAAACTTTTTTTCATATTTTTTACTGTATACTAAGAGATCATGATACAAAATCCAGAGGATCTGTTAGAAGAAAGATTTCGCAATCCCAGTGGATGCAGTAACAAGTGTCGCCCACCACACGGGCGTCTCGTCGCTCTCAAGAAAGCACTAAGTCACCCCCCCAACGACGAGACCTATACCATACTGACGATTGGTAAAAAACATGAAACAATGTCTGTTTCACTGACGCGGATGCGTCGACTGTCTGTTCTTCAATAACCGAAATTATCCACGTCGGAATGGAGGAATACATCCCTCACACAGTGAAAGTTCCTAAACAAGGGTCCAACGGCTGGTTCAACAAATCGTGTGACACTGCTCGCCAGCAGAAGATCAAGGCCCACAGAACCTACTTACAAAACCCCACTGTAGAGAACAGACAAGCCGACGTCGAGTCCAGAAACAAATATAACGAAGCGGTTCGCAATGCCAAAAACCAGCATGATATAAAAGTTAGGCACAGGGTAATGTCGCAGCGCAATGGCAGTCGGTCTTTCTGGACGCTGGCCAAGCAGATTGAAAAGAACTTCTCACACAGTAGCCTTCCACCACTTACGTGTCAGGATGGAACTATTGTATTCGACTCAAAGGCCAAGGCGGAAGTGCTAGCCAAGATCTTTGCTGCCAACTCCACCATGGACGTCCCCACCAACGCCCAAGTGCCGTCAATTCAAAGGGTTCACCACACTATGCGGGAAGTAACATTCAGGCATAAGACCGTAAGACGAGTGCTCTTGTCGCTCGACATCAACAAAGCTCCTGGTCCGGACTTGATTGCTGCCATTGAAGAGATGTGCAGCGGAGCTTGCTCCAGTTCTTTTGCGTCTCTTCCAGATATCTTATGAATCCGGCACCTTCCCAGAAAACTGGAAATTTGCTCATGTACAGCCCATCCCAAAAAAAGGATCTAAAACCGACCCTTACAACTACAGGCCTATAGCTCTGCTTTCTGTTATAAGTAAAGTGATGGAGAGGTGCATAAATCGCGAGCTTCTGGACTACCTCGAACGTCACAGCTTGATTAGCGACAGGCAGTACGGTTTCCGGCACCAACGATCCACAGAGGACCTCCTAGCTTACGTCACGCAACTGTGGAGTAAACTCATCCAGTCTCATGGTGAGGCTCATGTCGTTGCTCTTGACATCACGAAAGCGTTCGATCAGCTGTGGCACGCTGCCCTCTTGAGCAAACTTCCATCCTACGGCCTCCCAGAAAAGCTTTGCAGATGGGTGGCTGACTTTATCTCTGGCCGCAAGATATCCGTCGTAATTGACGGATTCTCCTCTTCATCCCACAACGTCAACGCGGGTGTTCCCCAGGGATCGGTCTTGGCTCCAACACTGTTTCTCTTACATATCAACGACCTCCTTTCCTGCACGATCAACCCAATCCACAGCTTCGCTGATGACAGCACTCTACATGCAGGAATTCAGAGTGACAAGCCGATCTCTGCCGCTGAGCTGGAAAAAAGAAAACTAGCGACGACTTCTTCTCTGACAAGAGACCTGGAGGCTATCACTGCTTGGGGACGCCACAATCTTGTACAGTTCAATGCTTCCAAAACACAGTACTGTACCTTGACGAACAAAAAGCGTCCTAGCTCTCATACAGTTTCGATGGACGGTCGAGTTCTACCAAAGAGCCATTCATTTCGGCTGGTCGGAGTCCAGATCACCGAGGACCTGATCTGGCACGAACACATCTCTTCAATAGCTGCAGCTGCTGGGAAAAAGCTAGGCTATTTGTTTAGGGCTAAGAAGTACTTTTCTCCGCATGACCTTCTCACTCTCTACAAGGCCCAGATAAGGCCTAGCCTCGAGTATTGCTCACACATTTGGGGTGCTGCCGCCCCGACTACATTGTCCATGCTCGATGCTGTCCAGAGGAGGGCGGTCCGACTGATCGATGACTCTTCTCTAACAGACAGTCTCGGGACTCTTTCGCACCGGCGGGCCGTCGGCGATCTAGCTCTTTTCTATCGCTACACCAACGGGCTTTGCTTCTCAGAGCTCTCTTCCATGATGCCGCCGCGCGATGCGCCTGCCAGACAGACCCGCCTGACTTCGGCATCCCATCCTAACCGTGTCAAATTTCGTACATCCAGAACTGGCCGATACGACCGCTCCTTTGTCCCGAGGGTGTCTAGATTGTGGAACAATCTACGGGAGGAAGCTTTTCCCAGTTCTACTAACCTTAGGCAGTTCAAAAATCGTATTAACAAAATTTCTTTGAGATCATCATAGCAGCCGCGGTGTTCCGGCATTTAGGCTTCTGCCTGCGCGGCTGTTTCGATATATATATAAAAAAAAAAACGTTGTATGCGGCTCGATATAGTCACAAAGACGGAACGCACATACGAGGGCGACCCGATAAGCAATTGCCTACAAAAGAAAAACTGAAATTTTGGAAAAGCGGCGATTTATTTCTCCACAGATATTTTCAAAATTTTCAGAAATTTTAGAATTTCCAATTTCCAAAATTTTCAAAATTTCAAAATCTGATAATTTTCGAAAATTCAAAATCTTGTGATTTTAAAAAATTGCAAACTTCCCAAAATCTGGATAATTTTCAAAAAATTTGAAATTTTCAATTGTTTAAAATTTTTTCAAATAATCAAAATGTGGCTATGTTTACACAGAGTAGTCGCGTGCTTATATGGCATATACAAAAATTCGATAACTTGATTTATAGCCAACTTTTGAAAAATTTGAAGAATTACTTTTTTTTAGGATAGTTCAAAGATCAAAAAGATGCAAAGAAAAATTTCCAAGATCAAAAATTAAGAATCTTAGATATCCCCAGAAATTGTTAAAAAACCTGACTTCCTTTCCTCACCCTGTATAAGTGAACAAATAAAATAAATATACCAGTAGAACCCTTGTACGTGTTCTCAAAAAGTTGATCAAGAACCTCCCGAATACCAGAACTCGATATCTCTTTCCGTTCCGAAAATCTCGAGATTCGAATTTGGATAAACTTTTTCATGTTGCAAAGTAACTGTCCTGATGATTGCTAAAAAGCACGAAACAACGAGGTATACTGAAAAATAATTTGACCTTGCTTCGTCTCACCTTTTAAACATATCCAACATCCTTTTTGTCACCAGAAAGCCACCAAATACGTTTATGAATGACACGAACGCTGCAGCTGCTGCTAAATACTGCAATGAAAAAGAAAAGTTCGATTGCCAGTTATTCATACAGTTTTATCGCTTACTTCAATTGAGTTTATTGGATAGTATCCTCCACCCATCAGCAAGAGACCGCCTACAGCTGTAATTCCTGATATCGCATTCGTTACGGACATCAGCGGTGAATGAAGAGCCGGTGTGACACCCCAAACTGTATGGTATCCCACTATAGTTGATAACCCCAGTACGGTCAACATCGACGTGAAGTCAGCGTTTGGTGACACCATTCCGAATCCCAAAATGGAGCCGACACCTGAAAATAAATTCATTTATGTAAGCATATGAAATATCTCAAGCACATTTTGCATTCGATTTCAACCCTGTAGCACACGAATTTACAATTTCAACTCATATTCATGCTAACAGTAACTACACACAACGCGGGCACGGTGGTGATTTCTCTTAATTCTCCTCTAAGTTTTGAAAACGAAAAAAAAAAACGTAAAAAATAGTAATTTATAATTTTGAACATAACCTGTCTTCAAAAACTACAACATGTAAATAACCCGTCGGGCACAGCTAATAGACATACTTCATTGGCAGCATATTCAGCAATTATTTTCTGACACAGCAAATATTACTGATTTTATACACATGCAGCCCAATACACACAATCATCCAGATGCGATCTTGTTATTCAACCAACTTTCTTCTCAGAGATTATAACTATCGACTACTCGGCTTCTCATGGCATATGCAACCAACAATGCGTGTAGTTGAGCTATTCCTCCATAGATGGACGCTCACAACGATGTTAGTGAGCAAACGTGGAATGACTGGTTACATCCTACAGTATATTCAGATAAGAGATAGACCGGACATAAACAAGACCACGTGATCATCGAACGCTGTAACATTCGGCAGGGACGTATTAAGAGTCACGCAGTACATATTTTAGATAGTAGATGCTGCTTTGCGTAACTTTGTAGTAAATTAGCACAATTCGATGTGTATACGATTGGTGATGGATATAGGATCATGTGGGGGTGGGGTAAGAAATATATAATGATGTAAATATACATAAGGGTTTCAAAATTTTCGCTTCGATTTCCAGCTTCGGATGCCGCCTGATGTTTGGTGAAATACAGTCGAATATAATCTTAAAATGGCGTTTCAATTAGCCTAAATTAAAAATAATCGTATATCTCTTAAAATTGCTTTTAGAATATTGATTAGTATATTTTTTGATTTCTAGGTAAATATGTAACCAAATTAAAACGTTCAAAACGTAAAAAAATGTGCATGGTTGAACATTGTCAGAAAGTAGATTCTTGAATAGGTTTTGCCAAAATGGGTTCAAAAATGTCAATAATTAATTAAAAAATACAGTAGCTTTATAATTACTTATAACTTACCGAATTTGATGAACGACATCTTTTATTGGAAAGATGAGCTTGATGAGCTTTCATCATCGCTACTGCCTGAAGCACCAACGTCAATAATGAATGGCTCGACTTGTTCCTCTAAAATATTGTCCAGTTCCCACATTCTCTTTTCAACTTTGTCTTTCACGTGCTTAATACAGTTTTCCCATTTTTGCGCTGTTATTAATTATAGTGCTTCTTTGAAAAGTCCTTTGAGGTCACAAAATTTAAAAGTTGTATTGTGCTTAGCTATATAATTTTTAACCTCTGCCCATATGAGCTCAATGGGATTGAGCTCGCAATGGTATGGAGGTAAACGGAGCACAGTTTGATTTTGACTTGCTGCCATTTCGTCAATGGCGTATTTTTGATATTCCGCCTTGTGATCCTTGACAATTCTTAATAATTGTACTTTCAGCATTGCTTCTTCAAAGTTGATATTTTTCGAGCGGAGCCAATTTTGAACATCAACTTTCCTTGAAGCCGTTGTTGGGACCTTCTCCATTCTTCGAGAATGATAAGGCGCATTATCCAACACAATTACTGCGTTTTCCTCTAAGTTCGGTAAAATTTTTGAAAACCACTGTTCAAACGATTCGCCATTCATTTCCTCGTGGTAATCTCCAGTTTTCTTAGACTCAAAGCACCACAGACCGTCAACAACAAATCCATCCTCACTGCCAATATGGCAGATAATGAGCCTTTTCCCTTCACCTGGAAATCGAAGTACTAACTGGTGTAGCTTTATTTCAATAAGCGAACCTTTTTCAAATGTTTTCATCACATTCAGCGAAAAAACATTGAGACATGAGTATCAGATTGCTATAATTGGGATTATTTAGTCATATTGAAAGAAAGAATATTGAACGTCGTATGATTACTCAGCGCTTCACAATTTAATTTAAAGTTATAAACCTACAAAAAATGAATGATCAGGAACCTGAAATACGCGCAAATATTAATATTAACAAATTATAACTTCATAAAGCTTAAAGTATGAATTAAAATGATTAGAAATATTAGGAACGGTACACAATATAAAACTTAGTAACTTTTTTTAAGTTTATAATATTCGACATATTTTAAGATTATATTAAAAAATTATTGAAATATCGAAAACACATAAAAACATGGCTTAAAAAAGTTCTAACAAATGAAAATGACAATAAAACATCCACGCATTTTATCGAAAGTTATAAAAGTTTTGTTACTTGTAATATGTTTTATCTGCCCCCTGGAATTAATGTTTAGAACCTTGTTCCCAAGGTTTGAAAAACATCCGATTGTTGTCTATTACTCGTATTCACCTGCTGGATTTTTTAATCCGGTGGACAGTCCATCTAGAAAGGCCCTCCTGGATGAAGTTACAGAATCATCAACCCATACTTTACTTGTAGTGTGTCCTGCGTTTACCCACGTTTCATCAAGGTAATAAATCTTCCTGTTTTGATTTCTATATTTCCCAATTTTTGTTAAATAATCCCTCCTCCATAGCACAATTTCTTCTCTATCCAGTAGTAAACTATTACGACCCCGTTTTTTCCATTTGAAATTTAAATGCTTCAGTAACGCATGGAAAGTTGATCGTTTGAAATTTGGCAACGTTGTATCTCCATTTACCTAATGCAGTATTTTATCTATAGTAGGTATTTCATTCCTAAAGAAGAATTCATGCACTTTCCTCCTAATCGCATGCTTATCAGCTTCATCCAATGATTTAACAATACTTTTGCGATGTTTACTGGTCATTGGCTCAGAAAAGGTGTGATTTTTTTTGAATTGTCTTAACACATTAAACACTGATGCGCGACACACCCCAACTTTGTGAGAAACCTTCACAACAATTTCTTTGATGGTTGATGCCTCGTTCTCCTCGCGCTCGATCTTATATATATTCAAAATGACCTCTTTCATTTCTGCACTCAGGTGTCTTTTTTTAGAGCGTTTCCTAGGTGGACTACAGGAGTTTACAACTTCATCGGCAGTATCTGTACTACTGGGCATTTTGCGCAAGCAGTTGATAACAATAACAATCAATAACAAGGAATAACAATAACAACGACAAACTCAACAACTTAATAAGATAACAAACGAAAACGTCCAAAGAAATATCAAATTGCAATGATGCACACGACATACGTAACACGTCTGAACCTGAATGTGACTCTGCCTTGATATGATTGCTCTGCCGCTCGGCATAGGCATTTAATTGCGAATTGACCAATGAGGGCTCCCGTTTTACGTCGAGACGGCGACGTTAGCGTGAAAATCACCCGAACCTTTTGTTTACATCCGGTCTATCTCTTATCTGAATATACTGTAGTCTCCAAGATGACATTTTTTTATTTTTTTTGACGTTTTATAGGTTTGTTTATAGTTTTGCTTTGTTTTTTTTTGTTACAATGGCAAGTAAGAAACGTAAAGTTGATTCAGGATGACGTGTTTTTAAAAATGGAAATATTGTTTCAGGCGTATTAAGGATGTGATGTGAAAATCAAAATTAAAGTTTATCACTTATAAAAATACGATTTGTTATATTTTTTTCAGCCAGTCTAGATAATTTTTATTTTATCTGGCCCTCGTCTTAAACAGTTTGTTTCACGGTGGGAAAGTTAAAAGCTACTTTGTAATAAATGTCATGGGAAGCCACCCTGTAAACATAGTGACGTCTTTAGGGCACTACTGACGAACGCCGACCAGCAAAAATGACGTAGAAGTTACGTCATTAGGACGGTCTAGTGTCACACCCAATTGACGTCATAGCATGTCGTATAAAAGACCGAATATGACGTCTATCTGAGTTCGATATGACGTCTATGCGACGTCGATATGACGTACAGTCGCTCGCAAAAATAATCGCGCGATGTATTATCCAAATGCTCCAAAAAAATTGAGGATGTGACAACGACGCGCCACAATCAGTGAGTTTAGGGATGGTAAAAAGGCGCCGAAATTGATATTCCACTTACCTACCACTCTTGAGTCGTTATCGCCTCCACAATTTTTCAGGAGCATTTGTACAAAATGTATAGAAACCGTTAATAAAGAACGAAAAAACACCGTTTGATCTCAAACACGTTCAAATTCTCCTATGGTTCAGAAATTGTTTGTAGGAGGCCAAAACACTTCTTGTTTCCTGGTTGTCACCTAAGCCTTATTGACTATAAGGCAATACTAACGTCCCTACTAAACTGTAGCACAATGTACGTTAAAGATGAAGAAATTCCAAACCCATAGATTTATAAAAGAAAATGGCTGAGCCATTGCCAAAAGACGAACACGCATACCGTTCCAAAATTTGAATTATTACCACGCTTGATTACAAATATTTTAGTAAAACTTGTTTAATGGTATACTTAGCAGTTTCTAATAAATTTGTTATTGACGGGAATAAATCATGATGTAAGGTGGCAATTTGAAATATCTGAAAGTGGAATATTATTATTTGAAAAGAAAAAATAATAAGATATTTTTAGTCGAAGAATTCCAAACAGACAAATATTGTCTAAACAAACTGTATTGCTAATAATTCGACAAATATAGACGATGTTTTCATGTTGCATGCTCGATCATATTTGAAAGATGAATAGTTAGGTTATGTTAAAACAGGTTATGTTGTTGTCTTTGGTGTTAATGTCTTAAGGTATTCTATCATAACTGTTTTTTCAAAACAAAAACTCGCCACTAAAATTATTATCAAGGTATCACTCAAAACCATGAAATAAAATGAAAATAAAAATAATCAGTGAAATTACCTAACTTCGCGAAATCATAATATAAATTTGTTGTCATTATGTTTCTGACTCGTGATTTTATGATACGTCCATTGATTACTTCAGTACAATTTATGGTATGACGTAATAGTCATCTTTCGTGATTTTGAGTATATATTTTCTTTGTAGGTAAGTGTGTAAGTAAGAAAGACGTCAAAGTGACAGCCTTTTGGAAAACGTCTTGTTGTCGTCATAAAAATGGCGTAAATAAAGTCGTCATTTTATAGTCAATGACGTTTCCGACCAGAAGTGACCGAATAATGACGTCATTTTGCCGTCATCATGTTCACCGGGAAATACATGTTTTTAGGTATATGATCTAATAAATTCAGTTATGATATCAAGATGTGAATCAGTAGTAAAATGTTCGAGGGGAAATTGAAAAAATATCTCATGGAAAAACAAGAAGACATAATATATTATGTGATTACTGTGTAAGATGGATATTATGGATATTGTAGCATTAATGCTAAATAAATCTGAAACAAACAAACAATAGTGATATCGTGATTATGGTTTGGGAATTGTGTAGAACAAAAAATACATTCATATTTTTTATGCATTCTCCAGTAGTAACACTGAACACTGCGACCTGAAAAGTCAACAATTTTACGAAACACTGACAACAGATCAAATATGAAGAATATGAATCAGGAACGAGCTTGATCTGATATATTTTAAGTAATTGAGATTTGGTCGCATTACTTCAAATCTTATTTACCTTCACCCATATTTTTTTTGATAACCATAAGAAACTTCGTGAGATTTCCAAAAAAGAAGCTGGATATTTACCAAAAAGATAAATATGCACTTACCGCCCGTAATCATTAAGGAGTTGTTCAATGTCGCACTCAAGGGGTCCACTTTTTTCTGAGCAGCTATTTCTGCAGCAGGCGTTTTGGGCACAACCGGGCTAGGTACTACTTTAGGGGGTGGTGGAGGCCACATGAGATTTCCCTTTTGCAATATGATGCTTCCCCGTACGACTTCATCGTCCAAGTTTATATCGAAGTGGTTCTTTTCGCCTGTAAATCGTAAGTGAAAATAGATAGTGCGTTAGGCAGGAAGTGATGTCGAAAATTAAAACGACAAACTAAAATAACAGAAATACATCATCAATATACAGTAATTTTGAGATGAAAAGTTTATACAAACATAGGTCCAGAAATGCTTCGTTTTCAAGATACAGGGTGACAAACTTTTTTTTAAAAATAAGTAATGAGTAAAGTGCTTTTTATTTTTTATCTTTTATATGAAAAAAACTCGGGAGACAAAAAAGTTGTAATGGGTGATTTTTTTGCTAGTATCTTTTTGGCAACACTGTTTTTGACAGATGACGCGTGAATCGTGTCTTGTGTCATTGTCAAACTTGTTCAGTTTGGTCTATAATTTAACCATGAATCGACTTACGAACGAACAACGCTTGCAAATTATTAAATTTTACTATCAAAATTTATAGCTAGTTAGTTCTAAAAAATAGAACAACTCAAAAAGTCAGTGACGCATAAATCCTTTGTTAAAGATATTTGTTAGGGTGTCTTCCATAAAGCCACTGGACTTAATAATTTCAATCTAATCGGTGCTAAATTAGCCCCTTATTGCCTTTAATACCACTGCTAAATTTAAACAAAATCGACTGAAAGTTTATCAACATATTTAAGAAAAACCGATTTAAAAAAAATGAAGCATTTCTGGACCTGTTGATATGAGCTTTTCATCTTCAAATTCCTTAAAAAATCACCTCCTGAAGTTTGGCCACGTACTTAAATAACACCCGTATAGCAATAAGTATTTTTTCTACTTCAAGAATAAAAAATTATATGCAAATTGGATTGTAAGTACATACCCATTGATAACAAGAACTTTGAAATATTGTTGGCATACAAATTCGAGCTTTGCGTTGGTAATCTGCTAGGAAGGTCCGTTAAGCCTACATGAGTTACATCATGGTAAACATAAACTTCATTAGGCCTAGTTGTTTCGATGTTGCCACCTGATTCAGCGGCTAGATCTACTACAACACTTCCTGGTTTCATGGATTCAATGTGTTCCTGAAATAATATAGACGATAATATAAAGTTAGCAACAAGTGACTTTACATTGTTGAAGTATGCAGGGTGTTCAAAAATAGACGGAGATATTTTAGAGGGTAATTCCTTCTTAAAAAAAAAATATAAAAAAGTGTTTAACTTTAAAATTAAATTAAAAAAAATTATTGATATCTTAAAAAATATTCACACGATTCTGTTAAAATTTGAGAATATTATTTGTTGTATCATGAGGATAATTTGGCTTTAAATTGATTAAAATTGTTAGGTCCAGTGGCGTCCCGGGGGTACCTTAGCGAATATTATTAGCAAAAAAGTGTACGCCACTGTCTTTTTTGTAACTGTAATATCTGTTATTTGATTGAGCATCTAAAATACAACTTTTTTGCCTCCTGTATTTTTTCGTACGTCACTTCGTTTTCGAGAGAAAAAAAAATAAAAACCGTTTTATCGCATGTCACTGGTCAAAATTGGTTCATTAATTTTTGCTAGAAAAATCTCAAGTGCATTGGAAAACAAAAAATCCAAAAAAAATCCAGATAAGAGTGTTATTGCAACTTTTGCAATGGGTACCATGATACCACAACAAATTAATATTTTTTTTTAATTCATCTTGAAAACTGCATTTCCGGACACCTATTTTTTTTCATATTATTTAATCAGGAATCACCCTCTAAAATATCTCCGTTTATTTTTCGAATACCCTGTATATACAACATCTTCAATCAGTGAGAAAAAATTAAAAAATAGCATCCACTCTACCTTTTTAATCAAAAGCGGGGCCCTTGTTCCAGGTATAAGTGCTGTAGAAATAACAACGTCTACATCTTTACACTGTTTTGCGAACAAAACCATTTCCGCATCGATGAACTCCTTTGACATTTCTTTACTGTACCCGGCATCAGTTCCTCCTTCTTCCTGTATGAATAATAAGACATAATGTTGTTTAAAATGCACTCCAATTGTTCGAATATTTGAAACAACCCGACAAGGCCAGACACAAATTCCATCCGGAATTTGTAGTAATCTTCATATAGTTGAAATCACGAAAGATGACGATTACGTCATCATTTTAGTCTGTAGTCAAGACAAACGACAGTGATTTGTGAATATTTTTAATGAAGTTTCAGATATGTTAGACAGAGGCAATCAGAATTTTATTGTCTAAACCATTGATTCCCAAAGTGGTCTATATCGACCCCTAGGGGTCTATGACAACCTGCAAGGGGTCTACGTCAGCGAAAAAAAAATTGGGGGTCCACGATAGTGGATCTCAACACATACACTGATAGTACCTATTTACTTACATACTATCTTATAATATCAAAACATATACATTATTTATAAAAGTACCTATGAAGTAAAAAATTTATTATATATGTTTATAAAATTGTGTAAGTTGTAGGATGTTGGTATTCGCTTTGTGGTCGCAATATATTTTGAACTTGTAAAAACCTGAGAGTCGCAGTCTCAGAGCTTCGCTACTTTGCAGTGACTTGTTCAATTCGTCACTCTATAAATACGAATGTGGGACAAATACGTTTATTCGTTTCCTGAATCTTGAAAAGGAAAGTGCTAAGAAAATATTTTAAAAAATAGAAACAGTATATCACACAAATTATAGTGAGTCACTGTTATATTGTTTGAGAGTGCTGGAGAAAAGTAAGTACATTATTTTTTATTAAATTTTAGTTTTGTACTCGAGGTTAGCAAAGATAGATAAATTACGCCAATCATGACTTTAGTTATTAGTAGTTAGATATTCAATCATGCAAAATTACACGAGTAGTCCTCAATAGTTTCTTTTTGAAAGTTTTAGCAATCGGTAATATAATTACAGTGCAATCTCCATAATTCGAGCTAATTGTTGCAAGATGTTCGAATTATGGAATGTTTTCGGAAAAATCAAAAAATATTTTTAATATACAGCTGCTGGATTTTCTGTCTTATTTAAATAATTTAATTTTGCCCACAGATGACTGATGCCATGTCCGAATCTAAAAAGAAATGCAGGCAGTACAGTGTTGATTATTTGAAATTTGGCTTCATTCCATCATTGCCGGACAAACAATCGCCTTTGTGCCTTTTATGCAACAAAGTTTTGGGCAATGACGCTATGAAACCATCTAAACTGCAAGACAATCTGAGAAGATGCCACCCTGATAAAACAGAGAAAGATTTGAAATACTTTCAAACACTCAAAGATAAATTTCAGAAGAGACATACACTGGACAGAATGTTCGCTTCGACGTCGCAAAGAAATGATGATGGTTTGCGGGCGTCTTACAATATCTCGTTACTTATAGCAAAATCCGGAAAACCGCATATCATCGGAGAGAAGTTAACTTTGACAGCCGTTGAAGAGGTTTTAAAAACTGTTTTGCACAAACCTGCATCTAATATCATTAAAAGAATTCCCTTAAGCAACAATACTGTTGAAAGACGTATTGTTGAAATGAGTTCTGATATTGAAAGCTTCTTATGTAATTATTTGCAAACGACCCATTTCTCTATACAACTGGACGAGTCAACTTTACCTGATAATGCAGCATTATTATTGGCATATGTTCGTTTTATTATGAATCAAGAAATCTACGAAGAACTGCTCTTCGCAAGAACTTTGATAATCGACACTAAAGGTGAATCAATATTTCATGTTTTGATTACTTCATTGAAAAAGCAATCCTTTATCAAATATAATATCAGTAGCTACAGATGGAGCACCTGGCATGGTTGGACGTTATCGTGGATTTATAAGCTATTTAAAACAAAATCTGTCAGGGGTGTTAGCAATACATTGCGTCATCCATCGACAACATTTAGTTGCTAAAAATTTGAGTGTTAGATTGCATGGATTACTTCATTTAGTCATTGATGCAGTAAACCGAATCCGAAGCAACGCGTTGAATTTGCGCAGTTGTGTGAAGAAAATGACGAACACTTTCATCAATTACTCCTTCACACTGAAGTACGCTGGCTGTCGAAAGGCTTATGTTTGACAATATTTTTTGCACTTTTTGAGACTATTTTAGAATTTCTGGATACTAAAGATGAAATTTTAAAAGAAAATTTAATGAAGAGGAAAACAGACATCGCCTATTTAACAGATTTGTTTACAAAATTTAATATGGTTAATTTGCAATTACAAGGCGACAGTTTAAATTTGATGAAAACAAAGTCCATCTTATCAGCGTTTCTTGCCAGAGTTAAACTAATGAAGCAAAATATTGGAATTTTCTCAGTTCCCCAATTTGTCACAGACAAGCTGCCAGGAAGACGACGTTTCAACTTACGTTCAACATTTAAATGCCCTCTATTCAGATTTTGAATCTAGGTTTGAGGACATTCTGACTATGGTAATACCAGCGTGGATAATTAATCCATATGGTGACATAGAAGAAACGAATATGACGTAGTAGTCATCTTTCGTGATTTTGATTATATGCCTACCTTAATATCTATAGTGAGGAATTCAGCGCCAAGCGATTCCACTTGTTCTTTAACCGCAGATCTGGTATCGAAAGCCCTCACTATTGCACCCATCGCTTTGGCCTGTCCAATGGCCGCGAGTCCAGCTACCCCTCCTCCGATAACTAAAACCTTCGCTGGGGGAACTTTACCAGCTGCCGTGATCTGACCTAAAGACGTTTTTGGTTAGGCAAGTTATCTGCTAGGAAAATTAACAAACCCCGACTGTCAAGTGAATTTCGCGTTGATACTTTTTTCGTGCTAGGGGTCAAAAATCATACAGAAAAATGTGTCTATTTACAGGAAAATTTACCCTTAATTAATCAACCTAAACAGAATAATATATACGAATTCACGTACCCGCGAAAAAGCGTGGAAAATGATTAGCAGCCTCTACCACCGCCCTGTACCCTGAAATATTTGCCATAGAACTCAATGCATCAAAGACTTGTGCCCTGGTTATCCTAGGTATGCAATCCATCCCTGGAAACAATTAAACAAATAAAATTTGTTGAAAACAGTATAAATTACAAAAAAATCCTCACCAAATACATTAAGTTTCTTCTGAGCTAATTTTTCTACCAGATCCCTATTTTCAGCCGGGTATATGAACGAAATAAGCGTTGAATTATTCCTGAACTTTTCTACTTCCTCCATCGACGGCTTTCTTACTTTGAGCACAATATCTGCAACAATATGAATAGCAGAAAAAGGCTCCAGCTCACGAACATTTGTTTAAAATACCTGAATTAAATGCCGACTCAGTATTCACAATTTTTGCTCCCGATTTTTCAAAATCCGCATTCCTGATTTTTGCTTCGATCCCAGCATCTTCTTCAATGTGAACCGTAAATCCTTTTTTGACCAGTACTTCAACAGCTGGTGGTACTAAGGCCACCCTGTAGTTTTATCAAAAAAGGGCATTTCATTTATTTGCAAAAATTCGAAGAAGAAAAAATATAACAACAAATTAAAAAACGCTGTCATCAATTCGTAAAGAATTATTTTTGAGTAAAAAAATAAAAACCGTTCTATTGCCCGAGAAAATTAATATAATAATTGAAGAATGCAATTTAGCAATAAATATTCAGCTGCTGTGACATCTGACATCTGACAAGTCTCTGTTATTCATATCTGTTCGCTGTGACATCTTTTTCATTATTTAGTTTTTACAATCTTGTTAATAATGGTGGATTATTCAAATGCAGAAATGGCGGAAATGCATTACGTATATGGCCTTGCCGACGGTAATGGTGAGCAAGCCAGAAGGATTTATCACCAGAGATATCCCGATCGTGCTTTGCCAGATAGCCGAACCTTTTCTAATATTCATCAGCGTCTTGTTGAAACTGGTTCTGTCCGAAAAGGAACATCTGAAGGTGACCTCTAAGTGTGAGAACACCTGAAATTGAGGAAGCAGTGCTGCACGAGTCGAAGAACACCCTGAAATGAGTAGATCGCTAGACACTTAAATATTTGCCATCAAATTGTTTGGAGAATTTTAGTGATTTTTTTGTTATATCCTTACCATATTTTAAGAGTACAGGCATTACTTCCCATTGGTTTTCCAAGGCGTGTGACCTTTTGTCAGTAGTATCTTCAAAAAATCGCACATAATCCGCAATTTGAATCAATGATTCTGTTCACGGACGAAGCTAATTTTTGGCATTAAGAATTTCCACAATAATCATTTGTAGGCAGAAGAAAATCCCCATGCCGTAACCGAAACCCATTTCCAACAACAATTTTCGGTTAACGTATGGGCAGGAATTATTGGCAACCACTTTATTGGCCCATTCTTCTTGCCGGGACGACTTGACGGACAGGCTTACCTCAATTTTCTTCAACAACAGTTGAATTTGCTGCTTGATGATTTTCCGTTAGTAATAAGAAACAGTATGTGGTACATGCATGATGGTGCACCAGCGCATATGAGTGTAGCGGTTCGTAATTATTTACAAACTGTTTATCCAAATCGTTCGATTGGCCGCGGTGGGCCCCAAGAATGGCCACCAAGGTCCCCAGACCTCAACAGTTTAGATTTCTTTTTGTGGGGCTATCTTAAGACACTAATGTACCATTAACACTGTAGAGGAATCAAGAGAAAGAATAGTTGCAGCTTGTGATAGAATAAAAAACACGCACAGGGATATTTCAACGATTGTGCAATTCCATGAGGAGCGCGGAAGCATGCATACGAAGTGAAGAGGATCATTTTCAACAATTTTTGTAATCATTTCTTTGGTTTTAATGTTTTTTTATGTTGTCAGTTGTTGTTGTTGTTCATTATCCCTAATGTGTTTAATTTTTCCAATTAAATTAATAATAACACTGATCAACAGCCAAAAAATATCCTAAATAAAATCAACAAAATATTACTATTTTTAATGTGCTAAAACCGGAATGAACTTATTTTTTCAATATCAGTTCAAGTTTTAGAGATACGGTAATTATATGTGTTCCTGCTGTGACAGTGTTAATATACTGTAATTCACAAGAATGCACGTGCTACATTTTTATATTCGGCAAGGAAAGATGATGTAATCGGCATGATTGTGTTACGTTATACATACGTGTACATTATATTGTTTTATATTAGCCATTTTTTTCTCAGTTGGCTGACAGCGTTCATGCAAGATGTCTCGAAAGTGTGTAAACAATCCAGATCAGTTTTGTTACGTGTGTGGTGATGTGACTTTTGCGTCTCAGAGACGGTCTATTACTCCACTAATAACAAAGGCATATCAGCTTTATTTCGGTTGTAAACTAGGTGATCAAGACAAACAGTGGGCACCCCACATCTGCTGTACATGTGCTTCAAGTCTGAGGAGCTGGTTAAATGGCAAAAAACGGTCTATGCGCTTTGCTGTTCCAATGTTTTGGAGAGAGCCTACAAATCATATTAATGATTGTTACTTTTGCATGGTACCTTGTGCTGGACAAGCCACAGGTATGTCCAAGAAAAAAAAATCGGTTATTAACTACCCAAACATACCACCTGCGATGAGACCTGTGCCTCACAGTGACGAAAATCCTATTCCAAAACCCCCAGAATCCTACACTTGCGAATCAGAAAACGAATCAGATCATGGCGATCGAGTGATTCGTCAGGAAGAAGATGCCATCAACGTCAAGAGATTCTGATTTTATACCGAGCACGTCATGCCACCAACCGCACAGAATAACACAGTCGGAATTAAATGATCTTGTAAGAAATTTAGAACTTCCAAAATGTAAGGCAGAGTTACTTGGATCAAGACTGCAGCAGTGGAACTTGTTAGAAGACGATGTTTCGGTATGTGTTTTTCGTAAACGCCACAAAGACTTAGAACCATTTTTCAATATGGAGAATAACTTGGTTTTCTGCAGTAACATTAACGGCTTACTGGCGGCTTTAAATATAAACTATAACCCAGAAGAATGGAGATTGTTTATAGACAGTTCAACATTGAGTTTAAAGGCAGTGTTATTGCATATTGGAAATATTTTACCATCTCTTCCTGTAGGGTATGCAGTTCACATGAAAGAATCATATGACAATATGAAATACCTATTGACATGCATAAAATACGATGAGCACCAATGGCATATTTGTGGCGATTTGAAAGTTGTTGCACTTTTACTTGGGCTGCAGCTAGGCTACACAAAGTTTTGCTGTTTTTTGTGTGAATGGGACAGTCGGGCAACTTCATTACACCAGACAAAACTGGCCTGTTCGTCAATTCCTAGAGCCAGGTCAAAAAAATGTACAGCATATGCCATTAGTAGATTCGAAAAAAATGTTATTACCACCACTGCATATCAAGTTGGGCCTAATGAAAAAGTTTGTCAAGGCATTAGATAGAGATGGGTCAGCTTTTCAATACCTGCGTCAGAAATTTCCAAGACTAAGTGAGGCAAAGGTTAAAGAAGGTATTTTTGTTGGGCCACAGATTCGAAATATTTTGAAAGATACACAGTTTGAAAACACTTTAACAGGTATTGAAAAAACTGCTTGGAATGATTTCCGTCTGGTGGTCACTAATTTCTTGGGAAATAGAAAAGCTGACAACTATAAAACCCTTGTCAAAAATATGCTGTCATCGTATCAAAAGATGGGCTGTAATATGTCTCTTAAGATTCATTTCCTACACTCACACCTGGACTTTTTTCCTGGCAATTGCGGAGCCGTAAGTGATGAGCACGGCGAACGTTTTCATCAGGATATTTCAACAATGGAAAAAAGGTACCAGGGAAAGTGGAATCCTTCCATGCTTGCAGACTACTGTTGGACTCTTGGTAGAGATGCTCCAGAAACGATCCATAAAAGAACAGCAAAAATACAGCGCATATAGTGATTCTTATAAGTATATGAATCTTGTTAATTTTTTTAATATATGCTTAAAAATAAAAAGTTTTTTTTTCTAAACCGCAACTAATTTTATTATTTCATTGTCGTTTTTGGATTCAGCGCCCCAAAATTAACAAAGAAGTGCACTTTTCCCACAAGATACAATTAAAAAACTAAAATTTGTTGTCCAGTGAATTTTGCAAGTTAGACAATAAAACGGATTTTATTTTTTTACTCAAAATGGCGCATCGAAGGAAAATAATTCAAGAGAGATAATTTGTTTTAAATTGAACGGGCAATTAAAAAATAATTTTTATTTGGCAAAAAAACATTGGCGTACCATTTTTTTCTTAAAAAATATCGAAGTCAATACCCGTACGCACGCCACTGTTAAACCTAAAAATTAATTTTGCATTGAAAATTATGCAACTTTATTAACTTTCACTACGTACTAAATATCAGTGAAATATCTGAAGCGGTTCTGTAAATATTAATTAATTTCCATTTTTTTCCTAAAACTTCGCATATCATTAAGGTACACCCTGTATACAGGGATACTGGTGGTCTTACTTTGACCCGCAAAGAACGGTGACTACAACTATAGTACTGTTATTGCTGTATATAATGCAAAAGATGGGGGATTTCTGAATAAAAAAAATACAAAGCATCCAAAATACCTTTTCTCATTTTGCCAGCTCTCTTTTGGCACCCCAACAGTCAGCTTACTATATGGAATTCCTTTAGGTGGCGGCTCAGGCGGCTTTACCTGAGGATTGTCTTTTGCTGCTTCCCTAACAGCTTCTTTCCCCAAATATGTAGTGGTTAGGAATGTTCTGTTTTGGGGCTTCGAACATCTTACAGAACATAGCAAGTTGCCTAAACTACATCTGAAGGAAAATGCGTTTATATCACAGAGCCGTTTGTACTGTTGAAGCCTTAAAATTCCACGAGACATTACAGTTTATTTCCCTGATAGTTGCACAGCTACCTGTAAGGAGAATTAAACGTGCAATGCATTATCAGTATCTCAGATGATAATAGAAATTTATAATGAGCGGTGTTGATACCTGTTATTTAACATATATTGCGAAATGCTTGCCTGTAAATAGCTTATTATGACTATATTATTATAAGATTTATGTTTAGTTTATGTTCTTAATATATTACACTTCTGACACGTGTTATACAAAATTTCAAGAAAGTTAAAAACAGTAAGCTTTTCAAATTGACATTCATGTCTGATAAACGTTAAATACAGGACGTCAATAGATATGGACTGATTAGACTAAAGTGACGTCAAGCAGGTTGATTCGGTACTTCACAAAAAATATCATCAGTCTAAACTGTTGCGCTTTAAGCAACAGTGTAAGAAAAAATACCCATTCTCAAGAGAAACCAAAAAAGTCTTGTTTTTAAGGATAAATATAACACTTTTTTAAAATTCCATAATTTGAGTTATTACCAACTTAAAAAAATTGATATATCACTTTTTAGGATAGTCAAATATCAAAGAGATGCATAGAAAAATGTCCAAGATCAAAAATTGAGAATCCAACATTGCTAAAAAACATAACTTCCTTTGCTCACCCTGTATAAGTGCATAAATAAAAGAAATATATCGATCGAACCCTGTACGTGTTCTCAAAGAGATGGTCAAGAACATTTCGAATACCGCAACTAGATATCTCTTTCATTTCAGAAAATATCGAGATTTGAATTTGGGTAAAATTTTCCATGTTGCAAAGCAACTGTCCACCAGCTTATAAATAAAACTTTCCTTGAATTTATGGTAATTAGAAGCCTCTTCTTTGCTGCCTCAATCATTTTCAAAATCTTAATTTTTCCGATTCCATTATTTGCAATAGTTCGAAAAGCAACTTCAAATGGATACGCAGTTGAAAAATACCTGCCTCATAATATCAACCTTGTTTGATCTCGTGACAGAGTGGACATTCCCATATTAAGCTGGATACCAAATCTCAACAATTTTCAAAACACTGATACAACGCATCAGGCATCGGCGACAAAATGGGAACAACGATACACCTATCTTTTTAAATTGAATCATTTCCCAGTGAACATGATGACGCCAAAATGACGTCATTATTCGGTCACTTTTGGTCGGAAACGTCATTAACTAAAAAATGACGTCTTTATTGACGACAACAAGACGTCCTTTAGAAGGCTGTCATTTTGACGTCAGTAATGGAAAGTCAACACATATACAAAGGACTTTTAATGAACATTAAGGTAAACTATTTATAAAAAGTATCAGGAATTCTTCGATCAAAAATATCTTTTAATATGACTTTTCTAATAATAATATTCCATGTTCAAATATTTCAAATTGACATTTTCCATCATGTTTTATTCTCGTAAATGACAAATTTATTAGAAACTCCTCTGTATAACTGATTGTACGTCATATCGACGTTACATAGTCGTCATATTGACCTCAGATTGACGTCATATCGGCATTGTATGTATCTTTTATGCGTCATACTATGACGTCACATAATGACGTAAGTTGGTCGTGACAGGAGACATAATGACATCATTTTTGGTTGGTCGGCGTACGTCAGTAGTGCCTTAAGAATGCCGATATTATGACGTCACTCTGTTCATTGGGTTATTTAGGATGATCCCATATTTCCGTGTGTTTATACATCCGTGTGAGACTGATACTCCAGTTGGAATATTTAGTCTCTAGTAAAACTATACAGGGTATTTCAGTTTATTGTTGCATAACTTTAAGATTCGATAGAACTTTTAAAATTAATGCATAAAGTATATATAAATATTTGATGTATAACGGTGAAAATTGGTATACAAGGGTTTTTTGGTACGAAAAACGAACCGTGGGCATAGTTTTACTGTAGCCGCTAGAGGGCGCTCTCTACTGTACCTGTAGTGTATTAAAATGACCGACAAATTTTTCTTAGAGCAATTTTTTGCTTTTGAATAAAAAACTGATTCTTCGCACTTTTCAACATAAAAAGCTCTCTTGTGAATTTTCGTTGTAGTTAGCCGTTTTTGAGATATTTCGATTTTTAAGGTTCGATGCATTTTTAATTATTTATGATAAAAAAACGTTAAAAAGTCAGTATCTCGATAATTTTTAGAAGTAGGCTGCTTTTGAAATTGAAAGCAGAATAAGGTTAAACGTCAATTAGTTGACAGTTAGTTTTGTTGTCTGTTGAAACCTGAAACGTTTTTTAGCAATTGTGAATGCACGAAATTTAGTTTCTTTTACCTGTTTTTTTTTTGTAAGTTTTATAAAACTGCCATTTTTATTCTCCGGTCAAGAGTTAGCGGATATTCATTTTGGATTCTTGATAGAACTGATAATAATAGGGAGTTTTTAAGTAACGTTTTATGGACCGATGAGTCATGCTTCACTAGACGTGGAGTGGTAAATTTTCATAATCAACATATTTGGTCGCATGAAAATCCGCATGCAGTTCGGGAAAGAAATTTTCAGCATGAATTTAGTGTGAACGTGTGGATTGGTATCTACCGTAATCGACTATTTGGACCCTACCTTTTGCCTGCAAGGTTAAATGCTGCGAACTTCTTGGAATTTTTAAAGGCTGAACATGCAAATATGTGGGATGATGTTATGTTAGATTTAAGAAGATTGGCCTGGTTCCAGCTTGATGGTTGTCCAGCTCATTATTCGAGAATAGTTAGAAACTGGCTGGACAAACATTATCCAGAAAGATGGATCGGCCGTGGAGGACCAGTCACCTGGCCTCCACGATCCCCTGACCTAAATCCATTAGATTTCTTTGTGTGAGGATTTCTAAAAGAAAAAGTGTACCAGACTCCCGTAACCACAAGAGATATGCTAATAGACAGAATCAGGAATGCATGTGATGAAATAAGTCCTTATTTGAATAATGCTATACCACGTTCGATCATTCGTAGATGTGAATTGTGTATTGAACAATTGGGTTTACATTTCGAGCAACTACTTTAGATTTTGTATGTTTGTCCTAACTATCCAATAGCATTTTAGTTGTAAATAATTAATTTAATATGTTAAAAATAATATTGGAAAATTAAACAAATTAATATTCTGTTTTTTGTGTTTATTTGGAGTTAGGAATTATTGCTGTGTCTAAAAACACAATCTAAACGATCATCTTAATTACTTGTAATGCCCAAATCGAAAATGTAAAAAAAATATTATTTTCCCATAAATAATTAAAAATGCATCGAACCATAAAAATCGAAATACCTCAAAAACGGCTAACTATAAGGAAAACTCACAGGAGAGCTTTTTATGTTGAAAAGTGCGAAGAATCAGTTTTTTTGTTCAAAAAGCAAAAAATTGCACTGAGAAAAAATTTTCGGTCATTTTAATACACTACAGGTACAGTAGAGAGCGCCCTCTAGCGGCTACAGTAAAACTATGTCCATGGTTCGTTTTGTCGTACCAAAAAACCCTTGTATACCAATTTTCACTGTTATACATCAAATATTGTTCGAAATATTTAAAAAAAACTATTTTAGAAAGTAAATTTAAACACCCTGTATTTCGGAAGCCACGCATTTTTCGACCCATGTTTATATAGACTTTATGCATTAATTTTAAAAGTTCTATCGAATCTTAAAGTTATGCAACAATAAACTGTATAGAAAAGATTATGATCGAGAATCATCGTGCTCTTGCATTGGTCCCCTTCAGCTGTTTGCCCTACCTGTCGGAGTCCTCCTACAAAGTTTTTGCTACCTTCGATCGTTCAGCAATGCATTTAGAATTATTAGGAAATGCATTTAATGCGGTATCAGAAAATTCAGCGTTTGCTATTTCTATTATTATTTTTTTTTTTTCGATTAAACTCAAATGCATTAGATGTTTTCAAGTCTCTTTTAGCTGAGAGCTAAATATAGTTACTGATGAGAGGTGCAGTATATTTAAATAATCTCAATTCTCAGTTTGTATGGCGCCGATTTATTTCAGTACATTTACCGCTTCTCTGGCTTCAAAAAATTACCGATGTATTTTCATCTGCAATAAAAGCAACCGTTGCCAAAGTTTACTTATACAAGCGCCACGGTATCAACCGATAGGTGTTTATTGCACAATTCAAATATTCACATAAAAGATATCACAGATAAGAAACGTATTCAAATGAAAATAAATAAAAATGCGGTATCAAGATCGACACAAAGTCGGGGTATTAGAATTTCGAACAGTTACGAATCCTAGAAAAAAATCATCTTTCCTTTTATGGGTCTCGAACCCGCATGACATGGAATGAAGCTCGATAATTGATGGCCGAAGATATACTGGGTGATTCTCCAAGATGGCTCACCCCTTTAAATTTTTTATTATTGAAGATGAAATGAATTTACATTTTCTGACATATTCATTTGCTTTGACGCACCTCCTGTTTGACCGGAAACGACTCCAACTTTCGATTTTTGAACCCTATAGATTTTTACTTAATTCGATCGAGAATGACATTCTGAACTCAACAACGCCTCACTTGTCAATATTTGACAGATAAAGTCGTTTTTATTGCAATTTTTATTTTTCGATCTAGAATGCCATGGATCCTGTAAATCGCTTCATTGTTGATCAAGTAACACAGGCAAAATACAGCTTATTTGATTTTTTAAAATAGAAAGGGGATGGCTAGAAAATCATAACAGTGGATTTAATTTGAGAAAATTAATCTTTTCTTTCGGAAAGCGAAAAAGGCCTTCTAGCGACCACATGTGAAACTAACAAAACTTCAAATATTATAACATTTGTAGCCCAAGAATAGCTCTTTTCAACTAGCCCAAGTTTGTTAAAATCGGCTCAGCCGTTTCGAAGATACAGGGTGTTTTTTACGGAAGCAATTGAACACCCCCACCACTTTATTTTTAGAGATACAGCAAAACTTGGCAAACAAGAAATGTTCACATTATCCTCGACTTTGGAGATAAGGTATTTTTTGTTAGGTTAGTATAGCGGAATTCACGGAAACGTCACTTTTTTACATTCAAAATTGCAGTTACGCTCCCTAGCAGCCATTTCAGAAACTTAAAAATATTTTCCAGGTTTTTCTCTTGGCCGTTTTAGTACCAGCTGTGTTTGCCGCAAGCCAGATACAGTATCTCGCATTCTTTTAGTTGATCACCCTGTACAACGGTGAAACAGAGGCCTCGTGATTAGTTTAAGTCCATTCATATAGTCAAAATCACAAAAGATGACTATTACGTCATACCCTAAATTGTTCTGAAGTAATCAATGGACGTACGTCGATGATAAAATCACGATGTCAGGAACATAATGACAAATTTATATTATGATTTTGCGAAGTTAGGTTATTTCACTGATCATTTTTATTTTCATGGTTTTGAGTGATCCTTAATAATAATTTTAGTGGTGAGTTTTTGTTTTGAAAAAAAACAGTTATGAGTAGAATACCTTAAGACAGGAGCACCAAAGACCAAAGTATTATTCGAAAACAACATAACCTGCTTTAACATAACCTATCTATTCATCTTTCAAATATGATCGATCATGCAACATGAAAACATCGTCTATCTTTGTCGGACACATGCAAATTAGCAATACAGTTTGTTTAGACAATAAAATTCTGTTTGTCTCTGTCTAACATAGCAGAAACTTCATTAAATATATTCACAAATCGCTGTCGTTTGTCTTTAAGAGCCGTTTTACACACAAGAGAATTACTCCGAAAATTATGGTCATAATTATGCCGAAAATTTTGCTGGCGTATTACACGTAAAAGAATTCTTGTGAAAATTTTCATGGTAAAAATATAAAACCCGTTCTATATTATATGCGCGAGAATCGGCGCAGAGGGTTATTTCCGTGCATGTCAATATCAAATGTCAACGACAACAACAACAACATAACCTCACTTAACATTTGTGGGAGTGGTCCTGTTCGAGTCGTAGGAAGGAGCGTTTATTGTTATTGTTTATTCATAATGTCGTGGAATCGGGAAGAATTTACAATGTTGTTGGAGGAGTACCAAAAATGGCCAAACCTGTACAAGGTGAAGTCACCCAATTACAAAAACAGAAATTTGCGGCGTCAGGCGCTGGATGCGATAGTCCAAGCATTGAGAAGTTTTATAATATTAACCAAGATCTCGATTTCAAAAATGAATTTAAATTATCGAAGTCTGTTGTCTTTCCGATTATATTGGACGTCATACCCGTTAAGGTTATGTCCATTTGAAAATATAACTCTAATGCGCAAGCGTATCATATGAATTACTCCGAAATTTTGTTTGCTTGTGTCATACAGGTTGTAGAGAAAATCTTCAATATTTTTTCCATGCAAATTTTCAGTATAATTATGACCATAATTTTCGGAGTAATTCTCTTGTGTGTAAAACGGCTCTTATACAGACTAAAATGATGACGTAATCGTCATCTTTCGTGATTTCGACTATAGTAACCCATCGTGGTCACTGGGAACTTAGAGTGTCTAAGAAAGTGCCCATCAGTATTATCTTTTATTTGTCGTCGCATTGAGAGTTGTAGAATCCGAGTCAACCAACTTGACGTATGTAACGCTAAAGAAGAATGTTCTTCTAATCTTCATTCCTTCATTTCTAGTTAAAAAACGACTAAAATGTGGTAGGTATTGTGCTAGAGGTTTTTTATCCTGTATGGTATATTTTTTAACTCAACATATATCTGGAAATATTGAAATGAATAGAAACAATTGTTACAATTTTATGATTTTATCATTGAAGCACGTATAGAACTTTAAACGTTGATATGAGACATATATTTATGTAACAAGTAAACGCTGGCAAATTAAATTTAAAAAATATTCACCTGAAAAACCTGTTGATCCTCTTATTTTGCCTTATTTTAGCACATCTGTAGGGGAGTATTATTTACGTATATATACAGCGCGGAGAAAAAGATTTTGCGCTTTTCTTCACTTATAAATTACACACAATTACACTTTTGATGAAAACCTCGGTTTGAAAGAGAGAATCGTGAAAGTTTGGCAAAACAAAGCCGGCAAACTGCAACTGAAGAGACTGCAAAAGGACAATCGCGACTCGACTGGATGCACTTTCAAAGGTGTGCGTGTGCGGGTACACTTGTAATGATACGCGATTGGCTGATGAGATGGGCGAGTGCCAGAGTGCAATGCCTGTCGCCTGTATGGTCAGAGACACCAAACCGCGTTTTCATGTCACGTACCAGATGGAGAGGACAAATACACGGTGGGCCAAAGTAGTACTTCTACGAATACAATTAGGAAGTCTCCTATAGTCGAAAATACTGCATATAATAATCTAACTGGTATGTTTCACAAATCTGAAAGAATTATGTTCCGGCCTCGTCTCGTAAACAGAACAGGTGTAGTACCCCTCTCCGCCTCCTAGCCTACAAACTCTCATTCCTTGCTCTCGTGCCACGTGCTAAACATCGAGTTACAAGTTCGCGCACCGATGTTTACGTTTTCAGCAGTGAGAGGAGCCCAAACATAAGAAACGACAAAGGAACAGCTCCTTATACGTGCAATCGTTGAATACAAATATTAGACAACTGGAGCGAAGGTGGGCCGATAATTATGATGTCTCTTGGTCGCCTTAAGGGTTTGTTTCAGCGCGTCATACGTGCATCACCAACGAAATAGATGCAGAGTCAGAAAGTGGCCAAGTATTCTGTTTCAATAGATGACGCATCACCACGGGGCTGATATTTCGAGATGACGATAGATGAATAAATTCTATTCTCTTCTAGCCACCTAAGGTGAACCCTGAGGTAGCGGCCGCTGTGATAAAAATTGTCGCAAACAGAGATGCGCGCTTGGTATCTGTACAGCAACATGTGAGTTGTTCATTAACTGCAAGCGGCAACACTCTCTTCTCCAGGCTCAAAGAAGGGGAGCGCAAGCTGGCAGATATTCACATTTAAACAAAGAACTCAGGAGTACTCTAACAGACGCTTCTATTGATAACTTGCTCTTCGTAGTAAGTCTGACCGAACAACTCAATTATAAATGGAAATCAGATAACTATTCGTCATCAATGGCAGAACTTCAGGAGTGACGCTAAAGTCCTGAGTTGATTCGATGATTCTATTACCATTCACATGGCGATCGGCACGGGTATCACGTATCTTGAAAAGTGACATTATTCGTTTTTTTGTGACATTATGCTGCTTTTTTTCGGCATTATGTAAGTTTTCCTACAAGTTGTTAACTTAGCACTCAGTTGTACGTGTTGCCTATACGTAATGAGGCTTTAGTTATCAATGTTTGGCTCTAATGTTATGTAAAATCTGCTGCAGAGATGGGATTACTGGACGTCTAAGTTGTAAGTTGTATGTGTTGATGATAATTCCATTGGATTTGTGTCTCAAATACACTTAATCGAGATTCTAAGCTAGAAATTAGTTGCACAGACACTTTCCTTATACATTCTGGAAATTAATATACAAATTTGCCGAATTTCAAAAATGAGAGAAATCCGAAATAATTATATTCACTGTACATTGTCAAAATACAAGCCATATACATGCTAACAATAATTACACACAACGCGGGCGCGGTGATGATATCCCGTAGTTCTTCCCAGCTTTTTCTTAATTTATAACTTTGAACATAACCTCTATTCAGAAAGCACAACATATAAATAACTCGTCACATTCAGCATATTCAGTGATGATTTCTCACACAGCAAATATCACTGATTTTTATACACATGCAGACCAATACACATAGTCATCCAGATGCGATCTTGCTATTCTCAGGGATAAATACTACAGACAATCGATCTCTGAGCCTTACAAAACTATGCAACCAATAATGCGTGTAGTTTAATTGAGTGATTCCTCCATAGATGGACGTTCAAAACGATCCTAGTGAGCAAACGTGGAATGACTGTTTGCGCCCTAAAAACTACCTATTCTCTAGGCGCTGAAGAAAGAAACTAAACCCAAACAAATACACGCATATTGCTCGTGAGTGAGTGTTTAGGCGCAGGAGACATTACAGGACCGCATCAAGATATTATGGGTAGTCATCAAAAATTTCATACAAGATAATTATTATCTTTTACAGTAAATTTCAGTTAGAGATTCACAAATGAGTTAACTACACTTTTTAGTTATTAGTAAGTAAGCTGCGCGCACTCATTCAGAAGAGGAACTTGAATCTTCTGAATCGTTTAAATGAATTATTAGAGGTTCAATTTGGGTATCGATGACATTGTGCAAATCCCATATTTTGACCTCAACCTTCTCCCGAACGTGGCGGATACAGTTTTTCCATTCCTCTGCCGTAACTCTATTGACTGCGATGTGAAAGAGATTTTTAACATCAGAAAATTTATAAGTATTATTATTCGACGCCACGTATTGCTTTATGTTGGCCCAAATCAGCTCAATAGGGTTCAGCTCACAATGGTAGGGTGGCAGTCTCAAGACAGTTTTATTTTGTTTTTTGGCCATTTCGTCGATCATTTTAAAATCGTATTTGTATTTATGTCTATTGACTATACTTATCAATTCACCCTTGACCATTGTTTCATCAAAATCGATCTGTTTTGAGGCCAGCCATTGTTGTATGTTTGCTTTTTTAGTTGCCATTGTGGGAATTTTTTCTATTTTTCTAGAATGGTACGGGGCATTATCCAGTACAATAACAGCGTTATTCTCCAGCTTTAGTAACATGTTGGAGAACCAATTTTCAAAGGAATTGCCGTCCATCTCCTCATGATAGTCCCCTGTCTTTTTGATTCAAAGGCCCACAGTGCTTCGGGAACAAAGCCGTCTTCACTACCTACGTGACAAATGATCAGCCGTTTGCCTTTTCCTGGAAATAAATTATTCCTTACACTATGGATTGATTAAATTTGAAGGAATGAGGCAATTGAGTTCATTTAGCTGAATTTAAGAGTCACGGAATGCTGATCAAAAACTGAAAAACGTAGAAAATTGAAGTTTGCAACTTCTCAAAACCCATTCAAAGCAAATTGACTGCACCCAAAAATGATAATAAATTTCAAAATAACGCTTAAAAGAGGGTCGAAGTTTTTTTTCCTAATGACTACACTGCGAATGCACCATTTTTGGAGAATATCACACATTATCTGCTATCACAGCATATTATTTGCCCGAATTTATCAAAATTAAATTGCCGGATAGATGAAGGAGCTTAACTGCAGGATTTTTCAATCCAGCCGAAAGACCGTCTAGAAAAGCCTGCCTTGATGATGTTACTGATTTGTCGACCCAAACTTTCGCTTGAGTATGTCCAGCATTCACCCACGTTTCGTCCAAATAGTAAATTTTTCTTTTTTCATCGCGAAACTTCCGAATCTTCCTAAGGTATTCCCTTCTCCACACAACAATTTCTTCTTTCTCTATTAACATACTGTTTCTTCCCCGTTTCAAGAATCGAAAATTAAGTTCCTTCAAAAGTTTTCGGAATGTGGTTCTTTTAAATGATGGAAGATCCTCATCAGCATTAACTAATCTTAATATCTTATCTACTGTAGGTATCTCATTTCGGAAGAAAAAATTATGCACTTTCCTCCTGATGGCAGTTCTGTCAAAGTCATCTACTCCGTCCGTTATCCTTTTTCTTGCAGGATACGGTTTTGGCTCAGAAAGTGAGTGAGTGCTCCTATATTCCTTAATGATCCTATAAACACTGGACCGACATACTCCAGAAATATGTGCTACCTTACATATAACTTCGTCCACGACCAAATCGGGTTTTTCTTGAATTTGGTTTTTGTATATATTTAATATTATTTGTTTTTCATTTGCACTTAAATGTAGCTTCTTAGCCCTTTTTTTGGGTGGGGTTGCGCTGATGTCAACCACTTCGTCGGCTGTATCTGTGTCAGACATCGTATCTTAGGCAATATATAAACAAAACGTTCCACTCGCGAAAAACGAGTATACGCTACTGAATGCGTAATGCGTATGCAATGCAATCCTGTGCGTGAATTGACTGTTAGGTGCCTGTCGTGTCATCTACAATCACGTTTACAAGTCCAAACCTGTGCAGATTCGTAGAGCGCCGACGACTGCTAGTGACCTTGAATTTGTCTGTAGATCGATGTTACTCCAGTCAATTTAGGTTCAAAGTGGATGTTTTCTAAACCAATTTGTTGTTCCTACATCAAAAATATATCGATGATGTTTTGTACTGGGAGCTCATGAAAGATCAAGGTAACTTATTTTAACAGTCCATCCTTTTTCTAGTCTCAAGATGACACGAAAAAGGGTCTGTGGATTCACTAGAAATACACTGCCGAGGATGTTTAGACCTAAAGTGACTGGAGTATATCCGTGGATGCTTTCGAGGGATCTGTTCACGTGCTGATCACTGTTTACGTTTAATGTCTTTCTTCAGCGCCCAGAGTATAGTCTGCAAGTTGACATCTTATAGGTTTTTTTTTTGACGTTTTATAAACTTTTTACATGATACCCGTGCGGTTGCGGTTCATCACTCTCCCCTGCTGAATCTTATTAGACAATTTATGAACTATCGACTGTCGAGCGTCGCTTGGTCTGAGACATTCGCTGGGCAGGACAAAAGTCTCATGGTTTTTGATCACCCGAGAAGGAGATCCCGCATGCCAGGCAGACCCGCCTGACTTCGGCCTTCCATCCTAACCGTGTCGAACTTCGTAGATCCAGAATTGGCCGATACGACCGCTCCTTTGTCCCGAGGGTGTCGAGATTGTGGAACAATCTTCAAGAGGAGGCTTTTCACAGTTCTGCTAATCTTACGCAGTTCAAAAATCGGATTCACAGAGTTTCTTTGGGATCCTCATAGGCCGCGGTGTCCTGGCATTTAGGCTTCTGCCTGCGCGGCTGCCTCTGTGTAAAAAAACACATACACTTGATCTTGAATTAAAATTAATAATATAAATAAAATCCGCTCCCGTATGCGTGTCTCGCACTAATTAATTATATGTTATCAACCTTATCAGACGGCCATGCGCTATCGTTCAAAGTCTATCATTGGAACGCGGTATTCGCCGCGGTTTTCAACCGAGCATCCATTCCATTCTCTGATTCCATTGATCCAGTGTCCAGTCTGCCTGCTGATCGAGCTGTCACTGTCAAATAGAGAAGTGAGGTTATAATGGCCGGTGTATTGACAAAGTTTTCCAAAAATTTTATACAACTATCTACTAAAAATGCTGCTATTCCAGCTACTACTTCATTACAAAATAGAAAATGTAAGTTTCGTTCAACATGTATAATATATTCAGCTTTTTAGTTTGCTTAGTGCTCTAAAACGTGAGTTTGAAATGCACTTATTTGCAATTCAAGTGGTTATTTTTTGCCTTATTTGTTAAACTGCACCTGTTCTTGATAAAATATTATGGATATGTAGGTGCTTTCACATTCTGAATATGTGATACTACCCAATAAAATAGGGAGTTAACATCAAGATGTACACAATTACAGGGTATTGGGTGTTGTTTTTTACTTTAGCGTTTTTTTTTTCTTTTGTATAGAGTAAATATCCAAAAAACGGACCATTAAATGGTTCATGTTGGTATATTTTCTTGCAAAGTGATGTCCAAAGTGTGTATCAAAGTCTTCAAAAAATACTATTTGTATCTGTACGTTATCTTTTGAGTTCATGATCTATGATATAATTCATTCAGCTTATTTTGACGTGTTTAATTTTGGTCTAATGCACAAGGTTCATCAGCATTAGTTATCTACATATATAATAGTGTTTACCTTTTTCCATTTTATACCTAAAAAGAAATATTATATTGTATTAATAAACCTGTTGGCAAATATATTCTGCTGATATGTATGCACGTTTTGGTCTAAGAGCCTATCATATTTATCATAATACTCCATAAAATTTATGCACAGTGAAATCTCCTTTGGACTGATACGAATGAGACTGGTTGAAAGTGTCTGTTCAAGAGCAGTGTCCATATAAAAGAAAGTCACTTTAAGGACATAAAAATTCATATATTGTCTCCTCTTTTTCTTTAAAATCGTGTCTTGGAATCGAATTACTGATTCAGAATGAAGGTCAAAAGACTCCCTTATTTTCGACAAAACTTTTAAGCTGCTTGGTTAGGATAATAGCTTTACCATAATTTGGAATACTTTCTGTTGGTACTGGAACCTCACTGACATCAGAATCTTCGGAAAATTCTTGTACCTCAACTGGATTTTCAATTTCTTGACCTGAATCTGAACAGATTTCACTTGAATAGAAGGTTCATAAGCATTAGTTATCTACATATATAATAGTGTTTACCTTTTTCCATTTTATACCTAAAAAAATATTATATTGTATTAATAAACCTGTTGGCAAATACTTGTATATTCTGCTGATATGTATACACGTTTTGGTCTAAGACCCTATCATATTTATCATAATACTCCATAAAATTTATGCACAGTGAAATCTCCTTTGGACTGATATGAATGGGACTGGTTGAAAATGTCTGTTCAAGAGCAGTGTCCATATAAAAGAAAGTCACTTTAAGGACATAAAAATTCATATATTGTCTCCTCTTTTTCTTTAAAATGGTGTCTTGGAATCGAATTACTGATTCAGAATGAAGGTCAAAAGACTCCCCTATTTTTGACAAAACTTTTAAGCTGCTTGGTTAGGATAACAGCTTTACCATAATTTGGAATAGTTTCTGTTGGTACTGGAACCTCACTGACATCAGAATCTTCGGAAAATTCTTGTACCTCAACTGGATTTTCAATTTCTTGGCCTGAATCTGAACAGATTTCACTTGAATAGAAGGTTCATAAGCATTAGTTATCTACATATATAATAGTGTTTACCTTTTTCCATTTTATACCTAAAAAAAAAGATTATATTGTATTAATAAACCTGTTGGCAAATATATTCTGCTGATATGTATGCACGTTTTGGTCTAAGACCCTATCATATTTATCATAATACTCCATAAAATGTATGCACAGTGAAATCTCCTTTGGACTGATACGAACGGGACTGGTTGAAAGTGTCTGTTCAAGAGCAGTGTCCATATGAAAGAAAGTCACTTTAAGGACATAAAAATTCATATATTGTCTCCTTTTTTTCTTTAAAATGGTGTCTTGGAATCGAGTTACTGATTCAGAATGAAGGTCAAAAGACTCCCTATTTTCGACAAAACTTTTAAGCTGCTTGGTTAGGATAATAGCTTTACCATAATTTGGAATAGTTTCTGTTGGTACTGGAACCTCACTGACATCAGAATCTTCGGAAAATTCTTGTACCTCAACTGGATTTTCAATTTCTTGACCTGAATCTGAACAGATTTCACTTGAATAGAAGGTTCATAAGCATTAGTTATCTACATATATAATAGTGTTTACCTTTTTCCATTTTATACCTAAAAAAAAAGATTATATTGTATTAATAAACCTGTTGGCAAATATATTCTGCTGATATGTATGCACGTTTTGGTCTAAGACCCTATCATATTTATCATAATACTCCATAAAATGTATGCACAGTGAAATCTCCTTTGGACTGATACGAACGGGACTGGTTGAAAGTGTCTGTTCAAGAGCAGTGTCCATATGAAAGAAAGTCACTTTAAGGACATAAAAATTCATATATTGTCTCCTTTTTTTCTTTAAAATGGTGTCTTGGAATCGAGTTACTGATTCAGAATGAAGGTCAAAAGACTCCCTTATTTTCGACAAAACTTTTAAGCTGCTTGGTTAGGATAATAGCTTTACCATAATTTGGAATAGTTTCTGTTGGTACTGGAACCTCACAGACATCAGAATCTTCGGAAAATTCTTGTACCTCAACTGGATTTTCAATTTCTTGGCCTGAATCTGAACAGGTTACACTTGAATAGAGATAACTAGTCATTTTTGCAAAACCCATACAGCCAATAACAGTAAGTATAGGCAACACGTTTTAAGATCCTCAAAAATGGATTTAGATTTGAACAGGCTTTGTTTCTTATGACTCCACCATTTCATGCAGGAGTTGGGCTTATCCAATTTTTTTATCACAAAATTGTATTTGATATCCAAAAATTTGTGACTAGAAAAATTGACATTGGCACATCTTTCTGAAATTTCTCTTTAGATATGTATGGGACACAGAATTGATGGTTTGATGGTTTTTGTTAATTGCCATTTCAATAAATTCAGAATCAATATCAATTCAAACAAGCGATGCTCTTCATCATTGCTGCTTTATTTTTGAACATGGAGAAACATATTTGAGAATAAATCACTGTCTAGACTCCCATTATTATTTCAGATTCAACTAAAAGAGTTGAAGCAAAAAACCCGGTTGTCGAAATGGATGGTGATGAAATGACTAGAATAATTTGGGCAAAAATCAAAGAGTCTTTAATCTTCCCCTATGTTAAGGTGGAATGTCTATACTTTGATTTAGGTCTGCCTTACAGGTATGATTACTTTAAGTAAAATACTACATGGGGCATTTTTCTTGATTTGGGAGATTTTATTATGTTTGCATTTTTTCCACCAAACTGGGTGTCCCTCATAAAAATACTTGATCTTGATATGTTACTTTCAAGTTCAAAGTTTTCGGCCCATACTCTCAAAAAATACGAAAATTTTATGTTGGTGTTCAAATTTATAGGCTGTTGTATCCAAATCAGAAAAATGTTTGGTAAATTAGTTTTCTTAAAAGGAGTGAATAAAATTAGCCCATAAAAGATCATGATTTCCTAGTTGAAAAATAGACACCCATACTTCAAATTATTGAGTCCTTATAAAAGATTAGTTACAGTACCATCTTTGCAATGGCGTATCATTGTTGTATGTTTTTGAAGGGATCAGACTGATGATCAAGTAACCATAGATGCCGCACATGCAATTCTGAAGCACAATGTAGGAATCAAGTGTGCTACAATCACTCCAGATGAGCAGAGAGTAGAAGGTTTGTAACTATAAATAAATGGCATCAGAAGAGATTTGTTCAAATATGTATATCAATCCTTTGCTCCTGGGGATAAGCACTATATTTGATACACATAGTAAATGTTCTATGTACTACTTTGAGAATATTTCATTTTGAATTATATTCAACCAAATTAAGGGCCACTACAGTATATTCAGATAAGAGATAGACCGGACATAAACAAGACCACGTGATCATCGAACGCTGTAACATTCGGCAGGGACGTATTAAGAGTCACGCAGTACATATTTTAGATAGTAGATGCTGCTTTGCGTAACTTTGTAGTAAATTAGCACAATTCGATGTGTATACGATTGGTGATGGATATAGGATCATGTGGGGGTGGGGTAAGAAATATATAATGATGTAAATATACATAAGGGTTTCAAAATTTTCGCTTCGATTTCCAGCTTCGGATGCCGCCTGATGTTTGGTGAAATACAGTCGAATATAATCTCAAAATGGCGTTTAAATTAGCCTAAATTAAAAATAATCGTATATCTCTTAAAATTGCTTTTAGAATATTGATTAGTATATTTTTTGATTTCTAGGTAAATATGTAACCAAATTAAAACGTTCAAAACGTAAAAAAATGTGCATGGTTGAACATTGTCAGAAAGTAGATTCTTGAATAGGTTTTGCCAAAATGAGTTCAAAAATGTCAATAATTAATTAAAAAATACAGTAACTTTATAATTACTTATAACTTACCGAATTTGATGAACGACATCTTTTATTGGAAAGATGAGCTTGATGAGCTTTCATCATCGCTACTGCCTGAAGCACCAACGTCAATAATGAATGGCTCGACTTGTTCCTCTAAAATATTGTCCAGTTCCCACATTCTCTTTTCAACTTTGTCTTTCACGTGCTTAATACAGTTTTCCCATTTTTGCGCTGTTATTAATTCTAGTGCTTCTTTGAAAAGTCCATTGAGGTCACAAAATTTAAAAGTTGTATTGTGCTTAGCTATATAATTTTTAACCTCTGCCCATATGAGCTCAATGGGATTGAGCTCGCAATGGTATGGAGGTAAACGGAGCACAGTTTTATTTTGACTTGCTGCCATTTCGTCAATGGCGTATTTTTGATATTCCGCCTTGTGATCCTTGACAATTCTTAATAATTGTACTTTCAGCATTGCTTCTTCAAAGTTGATATTTTTCGAGCGGAGCCAATTTTGAACATCAACTTTCCTTGAAGCCGTTGTTGGGACCTTTTCCATTCTTCGAGAATGATAAGGCGCATTATCCAACACAATTACTGCGTTTTCCTCTAAGTTCGGTAAAATTTTCGAAAACCACTGTTCAAACGATTCGCCATTCATTTCCTCGTGGTAATCTCCAGTTTTCTTAGACTCAAAGCACCACAGACCGTCAACAACAAATCCATCCTCACTGCCAATATGGCAGATAATGAGCCTTTTCCCTTTACCTGGAAATCGAAGTACTAACTGGTGTAGATTTATTTCAATAAGCGAACCTTTTTCAAATGTTTTCATCACATTCAGCGAAAAAACATTGAGACATGAGTATCAGATTGCTATAATTGTGATTATTTAGTCATATTGAAAGAAAGAATATTGAACGTCGTATGATTACTCAGCGCTTCACAATTTAATTTAAAGTTATAAACCTTTAAAAAATGAATGATCAGGAACCTGAAATACGCGCAAATATTAATATTAACAAATTATAACTTTATAAAGCTTAAAGTATGAATTAAAATGATTAGAAATATTAGGAACGGTACACAATATAAAACTTAGTAACTTTTTTTAAGTTTATAATATTCGACATATTTTAAGATTATATTAAAAGATTATTGAAATATCGACAAAAAGTTCTAACAAATGAAAATGACAATAAAACATCCACGCATTTTATCGAAAGTTGTAAAAGTTTTGTTACTTGTAATATGTTTTATCTGCCCCCAGGCATTAATGTTTAGAACCTTGCTCCCAAGGTTTGAAAAACATCGGATTGTTGTCTATTACTCGTATTTACCTGCTGGATTTTTTAATCCGGTGGACAGTCCATCTAGAAAGGCCCTCCTGGATGAAGTTACAGAATCATCAGCCCATACTTTACTTGTAGTGTGTCCTGCGTTTACCCACGTTTCATCAAGGTAATAAATCTTCCTGTTTTGATTTCTATATTTCCCAATTTTTGTTAAATAATCCCTCCTCCATAGCACAATTTCTTCTCTATCCAGTAGTAAACTATTACGACCCCGTTTTTTCCATTTGAAATTTAAATGCTTCAGTAACGCATGGAAAGTTGATCGTTTGAAATTTGGCAACGTTGTATCTCCATTTACCTCCTGCAGTACTTTATCTATCGTAGGTATTTCATTCCTAAAGAAGAATTCATGCACTTTCCTCCTAATCGCATGCTTATCAGCTTCATCCAATGATTTAACAATACTTTTGCGATGTTTACTGGTCATTGGCTCAGAAAAGGTGTGATTTTTTTTGTATTGTCTTAACACATTAAACACTGATGCGCGACACACCCCAACTTTGTGAGAAACCTTCACAACAATTTCTTTGATGGTTGATGCCTCGTTCTCCTCGCGCTCGATCTTATATATATTCAAAATGACCTCTTTCATTTCTGCACTCAGGTGTCTTTTTTTAGAGCGTTTCCTAGGTGGACTACAGGAGTTTACAACTTCATCGGCAGTATCTGTACTACTGGGCATTTTGCGCAAGCAGTTGATAACAATAACAATCAATAACAAGGTATAACAATAACAACGACAAACTCAACAACTTAATAAGATAACAAACGAAAACGTCCAAAGAAATATCAAATTGCAATGATGCACACGACATACGTAACACGTCTGAACCTGAATGTGACTCTGCCTTGATACGACTGCTCTGCCGTTCGGCATAGGCATTTAATTGCGAATTGATCAATGAGGGCTCCTGTTTTACGTCGAGACGGCGACGTTAGCGTGAAAATCACCCGAACCTTTTGTTTACATCCGGTCTATCTCTTAACTGAATATACTGTACGAATTTTTTCATATCAGTTCAAATAATTTGACATCATTTTAAATTTGTCCTCGCAGAATTTAAGTTGAAGAAAATGTGGCTGTCACCGAACGGAACAATTAGAAATATTCTGGGGGGCACTGTATTCAGAGAACCGATTCTCTGCAGTAATATACCCAAGCTGGTACCTGGATGGACTCAGCCGATCGTTATTGGCCGTCACGCACATGGGGATCAATACAAAGCAAAGGATTTCGTTGTCACTAAACCAGGGAAGGTAAATATACAGGGCGGTCTATAATGAATAGGCCAAAAGGCAAATGTCTGTTAATGTGATTCTTGCCATTTCACTGTAGAGTAACTGTTAACTAGGAATGTGAGGTATCTGGAAACCTATCCATCGTACAGTAAAATTTTTATATAATAGTAATTTCAATTAGAAAATATTGTAACAGTAGATTACTATACTCTAGGCGCTGAAGAAAGAAACTAAACCCAAACAAATACACGCATATTGCTCGTGAGTGAGTGTTTAGGCGCAGGAGACATTACAGGACCGCATCAAGATATTATGGGTAGTCATCAAAAATTTCATACAAGATAATTATTATCTTTTACAGTAAATTTTCAGTTAGAGATTCACAAATGAGTTAACTACACTTTTTAGTTATTAGTAAGTAAGCTGCGCGCACTCATTCAGAAGAGGAACTTGAATCTTCTGAATCGTTTAAATGAATTATTAGAGGTTCAATTTGGGTATCGATGACATTGTCCAAATCCCACATTTTGACCTCAACCTTCTCCCGAACGTGGCGGATACAGTTTTTCCATTCCTCTGCCGTAACTCTATTGACTGCGATGTGAAAGAGATTTTTAACATCAGAAAATTTATAAGTATTATTATTCGACGCCACGTATTGCTTTATGTTGGCCCAAATCAGCTCAATAGGGTTCAGCTCACAATGGTAGGGTGGCAGTCTCAAGACAGTTTTATTTTGTTTTTTGACCATTTCGTCGATCATTTTAAAATCGTATTTGTATTTATGTCTATTGACTATACTTATCAATTCACCCTTGACCATTGTTTCATCAAAATCGATTTGTTTTGAGGCCAGCCATTGTTGTATGTTTGCTTTTTTAGTTGCCATTGTGGGAATTTTTTCTATTTTTCTAGAATGGTACGGGGCATTATCCAGTACAATAACAGCGTTATTCTCCAGCTTTAGTAACATTTTGGAGAACCAATTTTCAAAGGAATTGCCGTCCATCTCCTCATGATAGTCCCCTGTCTTTTTTGATTCAAAGGCCCACAGTGCTTCGGGAACAAAGCCGTCTTCACTACCTACGTGACAAATGATCAGCCGTTTGCCTTTTCCTGGAAATAAATTATTCCTTACACTATGGATTGATTAAATTTGAAGGAATGAGGCAATTGAGTTCATTTAGCTGAATTTAAGAGTCACGGAATGCTGATCAAAAACTGAAAAAGGTAGAAAATTGAAGTTTGCAACTTCTCAAAACCCATTCAAAGCAAATTGACTGCATCCAAAAATGATAATAAATTTCAAAATAACGCTTAAAAGAGGGTCGAAGTTTTTTTCCTAATGACTACACTGCGAATGCACCATTTTTGGAGAATATCACACATTATCTGCTATCACAGCATATTATTTGCCCGAATTTATCAAAATTAAATTGCCGGATAGAGCTTACCTGCAGGATTTTTCAATCCAGCCGAAAGACCGTCTAGAAAAGCCTGCCTTGATGATGTTACTGATTTGTCGACCCAAACTTTCGCTTGAGTATGTCCAGCATTCACCCACGTTTCGTCCAAATAGTAAATTTTTCTTTTTTCATCGCGAAACTTCCGAATCTTCCTAAGGTATTCCCTTCTCCACACAACAATTTCTTCTTTCTCTATTAACATACTGTTTCTTCCCCGTTTCAAGAATCGAAAATTAAGTTCCTTCAAAAGTTTTCGGAATGTGGTTCTTTTAAATGATGGAAGATCCTCATCATCATTAACTAATCTTAATATCTCATCTACTGTAGGTATCTCATTTCGGAAGAAAAAATTATGCACTTTCCTCCTGATGGCAGTTCTGTCAAAGTCATCTACTCCGTCCGTTATCCTTTTTCTTGCAGGATACGGTTTTGGCTCAGAAAGTGAGTGAGTGCTCCTATATTCCTTAATGATCCTATAAACACTGGACCGACATACTCCAGAAATATGTGCTACCTTACATATAACTTCGTCCACGACCAAATCGGGTTTTTCTTGAATTTGGTTTTTGTATATATTTAATATTATTTGTTTTTCATTTGCACTTAAATGTAGCTTCTTAGCCCTTTTTTTGGGTGGGGTTGCGCTGATGTCAACCACTTCGTCGGCTGTATCTGTGTCAGACATCGTATCTTAGGCAATATATAAACAAAACGTTCCACTCGCGAAAAGCGAGTATACGCTACTGAATGCGTAATGCGTATGCAATGCAATCCTGTGCGTGAATTAACTGTTAGATGCCTGTCGTGTCATCTACAATCACGTTTACAAGTCCAAACCTGTGCAGATTCGTAGAGCGCCGACGACTGCTAGTGACCTTGAATTTGTCTGTAGATCGATGTTACTCCAGTCAATTTAGGTTCAAAGTGGATGTTTTCTAAACCAATTTGTTGTTCCTACATCAAAAATATATCGATGATGTTTTGTACTGGGAGCTCATGAAAGATCAAGGTAACTTATTTTAACAGTCATCCTTTTTCTAGTCTCAAGATGACACGAAAAAGGGTCTGTGGATTCACTAGAAATACACTGCCGAGGATGTTTAGACCTAAAGTGACTGGAGTATATCCGTGGATGCTTTCGAGGGATCTGTTCACGTGCTGATCACTGTTTACGTTTAATGTCTTTCTTCAGCGCCCAGAGTTTAGTTGTTGTGGTGATATCTCTTTAATATTTGATTTTATCAAGGATTGCACATCTGGCGTTATTTTTCTAACCGATTCGTATCATTATTCAAGGTGGAGATGATTTACACTGCAGATGACGGCGAAGTGCAGAAAGTAGAACTTTTTAAATACAAATCACCGGGAGTAGCAATGGGCATGTACAATACAGATGAAAGCATAAGTGCATTCGCCCATTCATCCTTCCAGGTAGCGTTACAGAAAGGATGGCCTTTATATCTTTCCACAAAGAATACGATTCTGAAAAAATATGATGGGAGGTTCAAGGATATTTTCCAGGAAATCTACGATAAGTACGTGAAAACCATTTTTGTTGCATAAAGCATTGCTCACAATGAGCATAGGTACCCATTTGAAAATGTTGACGTAGCATTCATCAATACTTAAACTGGCGTTTTGTACATTTTCAGCTTCCTACTACTCAAAATAATTGGATATTAAAGTTAACAAATCAGAACCACAATTATTTTAAATGACAACAATCTCGATTTACTTTTAAAATAAATAAAAATCTCCCAAAAAACATACAAATGCTTAGCTATCCCTATTTTTTCTGAAAATGATCAGGATCATTTTAAATATCGGATAATTATTAGACGTAACGAAATGACCTTGGTGATTTTGAGAGATCTGTCTATAGTCAACGCCAAACAAAGTGGCGTGCACGTCATCAAGGTGGGTGTGTTGAAAAATTTACATTGTTGCCAAACTTTTTGTAAAATAATAAAATTTATTATTTACATATCTAGGTTTATAAGCAATATTAACCTCAAATGAGAACAAAAATAATAGTATAATAAAATTATAGATCTGTACTTGCATAATCATTAAGTATGACAATTATTGATCAGATGACACTATGAAACTACCATATTTAATTGATAGCTTAAAGGTACTGAATAAAAATCCAAATGGGGTCCTCCAAATTTTATGCATGGTATTTATTTTACAGAATTCATACAGAAAAATGCATTCTAAAATTAGGTAAGCTACTGGTGTAAGCTTTTTCTGTACAATAAAGTTAGTCGGAGTTTCTTTCTTCAGCGCTGTCTGGATCTGAATCTTCATCACTCTCAAAGTTGATTATTAAAGGTTCGATGTCTGGTCGATCAAAAATTCGTTCTCTTTCATACCATTTAAAAATTTCTTGCTCAGTATGTCGAACACTATTTTTCCACATGTCTGGAGTAACCGTTTGTAGAGCCTCGTTCCACATATCCAAACAGTCTTTTTCACTGTTACCATCTCTACCAATATGTCTGTTATAGTAACCTTTTGCTATGCCCCAAATTAACTCAATAGGGTTAAATATACAATGGTAAGGAGGCAGACGAAGAACTTTGTGCCCATGTTGTTCCGCCAATTCATCAATCACGTATATTTTAGGTGGTTTGTTTCTAAAAAAGCAGTTATTTTAAGAATAGGAATAAACAAAAGAAATATAAACTGTCGACCAAAATATATATAATTAAGAAGCATTATGTACCGAGCAACAATACTCAATAGCTCTGTTTTAAACATTGTGTTTAAAAATGGTATGTTTTGATTTGTCAACCAGTCTTGGATATTTTTTTTTGTCCATGCATTGTTGGGCACTTTGTTCAATATCATGCTGTGATAAGGGGCGTTATCCAGTATAATCATAGATGGACTCTCCAATTTTTCTAATAACTGATGTTGAAACCATTTCAAAAAATTGTCCTGGTTCATCTCTCCATGGTAATCACTCAATTTTGTTTTCGAAGAAAATATCGCTTCACTACCCTCAATAAACCCATTTTCATTTCCAGCATGTAATATAATGTATCTAAAATATATTAGTTTTAAATTTTATAGTGCAAATTGTGTAAAAGTACATACCTTTTACCATCTGTTTTAATAGCTTTCACGCTTTTTTGGTTTCCATTTTGCCAAGAGCGACCTATGGTCCCATTTTGAAATATCCAAGTTTTATCGAGGAAGACAAACTGGTATAAGGCCTCAACCTTGGCTTGATTGTATTGCCTTAGAAATTCCACCCTTTTCAAAGCTATACTTGGTAGTTCCATGAGCCCTCGTCGCGGATTGTCCTTAAGCCACTTAAATCCAAGATCTCTAAGCAACCGCCTTAAAGACGTGGCACTACCATCAAATAATGCCCTATCTCTTAATCGAGACCATAAAGTTTGTATCGTAACTTGTTCTTCTGAAACCATGTGTAATATGACATTATAATTTAGTTAACAAATTAATGCAAATTTCTGATAAGTTATTATAATAAGATCTTACTTTTGTGATACATATTATAGATCACTTCTCGAATGGCACTTGTATCCAATGTCGCTGTGTTGGTTACACGTTTAATATAACTCCGCTTTTTCTTGGGCGATTCTAAATTTGCATCACTTTTCACACCCTCGGAAATACGACTAACTGTCCTTAAACTAATTTTTAAAGCAGCATCAACACGCTACAAAAAATGAAATAAAATTTCACTATTATTAATATACATTACATATAATTATTAGTAACCTACCTCTTGAACAGCATTTAAAGGCAACAAAGGCCCGTTGTTGTCCCTTTCTTGCTCAAAGTAGTGCATTAACGAGGCCACGAGTTCCTTACACCGACTATTTAACTGTTTGGGCATCTTTATATACCAAAATTGCCTTTATCTACTCGTAAAATGAATAATTTTGTTTTGAAACAAACAGTTGTTGATTTACAGTATCGGGGCCAAAGGATTTATAAAGATTTGAAATGCCACAAATTGATTCAGTGTCAAAATTAATACAAATGTCAGTTCCCAGTTTAAATAAGTTTCAAGGTGACAATGTGTCAACGCTGCGAAATCGGTTTAGTGCGTTTACATGTCGATAAGTGATTGGAGCGTTTGCAAAACATTTTATTTCGCATAATGCGTCTAAATTTATCAGAAAGCAACTTATGTGATATTTTAATAACAATGTTTATATGACTATTAACCATAATAAGAGAGTAATGACCATTTTACAATTTATATATCACATTAATATGAAACTGCAATAGAGCAATTGTTTGTGATAGAAACCTAGGCATTAGGTCGGGGAATTTTTATCGTGATGACGTGCACGCCACTTTGTTTGGCGTTGACTATATAGTCAAAATCACGAAAGATGACGATTACGTCATCATTTTAGTCAGTGGGAATATCTATCCTAAAAATGATAGTTTTGAACGAACGCTGATAGTTATGTATGGTCGCAGGGAGTACAAATCGCAGTTTGAGGCCAAAAAGATTTGGTACGAACACAGACTGATCGACGATCAAGTCGCTCAGGCGCTGAAATCTAGTGGCGGTTTCGTTTGGGCGTGCAAAAACTATGATGGAGACGTGCAGTCCGACATCGTGGCTCAAGGATACGGTTCTTTAGGAATGATGAAGTCTGTACTTATGTGCCCTGATGGAAAAACTATTGAATCTGAAGCTGCTCATGGTACCGTCACTAGACACTATAGGTAAGTTCTCACTATCTAACTTACACCGGATGGCCTGATTGAAGTAGTCGAGTCATTTAAATATCTAATAATAATAGTGTATTTACATCAATTACAAATTGTGAATAAATGCATATACCACAAAAAGAAAATATCCTTGTATGTGGAGATCATCACATACATGTAAAATACGAGTAGCAATTATCAAAAACTGATAGGACTAAAATAAAAAATGTACAGTAATGGACAAAAGTATATAGACAAATTAATATTGTGCTGTATTTCTTTTTTAACTTGTTTTATTAATACACCAACCTGTATACATAATTCGGTATAGCATAATTACTCACTTATACATAAATAAATTCATTATACTACCTTCAATAAAAAATTAATTGAAAAAAACTGGAACTATGAAGGACAAAAATATATAGACAAAGCAAAACAATTATAGAAAAAAGAAGCAAAGTTCATTGAATTATAGAAAACCAACCATATTTATGTTAATATTTTGTAGCATAACCATTATTATCAATCACCGCCTGGCATAGTCTCGGCGTAGATTGTAGAAGTTTCTTGATATAAGATCCATCAATCTGTCTCCACTTTTGCTCTAAAGCGGCTAAAAGTTCATCCTTGTTTGAATAATTTTTTCTCGTATTTGCTTATCTAAGTATTCCCATAGATTTTCAATGGGGTTTATATCGGGAGACTGTGAAGGCCATTTGAGATCTGGTATTTTTTCATCCAGAATTTCTTTGCGAGAAATGTGCTTCGGGTCATTATCTTGCTGGAAGATTCATCTTAAGGGCATTTTCAATCGGGAGATTGTGAAAAAAATCTCTTTATGCGTACTCAAAATACATAGTGATGTAGAATGTAAAATTACAGAAAATTGATTTAAACGAGTGTAAACGAAGCTTGGCCATCATCCAACGTTGAAAGGTACGATGTATTTCATTATACAAATCAGGCGTCGCGCGGTGTGTTGGTTAACAAATTTACAAATCGGATTTGAAAAACCGAATTTCTACAGTCCCACAGCAATAACCCAGTTATCGATTATTTATCGATTTGTTTATTTATATCATGCAAGTTCCGTCGAGGAGGGTATAGTAGAAGAACTAGGAAACCCAAAATGCCACAGATTCTTATCAAATGAATAGTCAGTCCTGTCCTTCAATTTTATTTTTACGCAGTTCTTTCTGAAAACAAAAGTCCTACGTTTCGGGATAACCTGTGCTTCTAAAACGGGGTCGGGATCGGTCTTCTTTAAATTTTGGGGTAACATTTTTGAGCCTTTCAGGCTTCATAGGATCAGTTTTTTGATAATTCCATGACTTATTATTTACATATACTCAGTGACATTAGGAGTGTTACACCAAAAAAAATAATTGTTTCTTCAACTTGTTTTTGTGGCAATGTTAGTCTTACATAAAGAATGAAACAATAACATTTCTACGAAATTTTATTGGCAAGTAATAAGAAAAAAATTGATAATAATAAAGATAAAACGTTGACATTGTTGCCCCAGCATGCTTAAAATGTAGTCATTATCTTGCCAAAAAATCAAGTTGACGAAATTATTTTTTCTAGGCGTAACACTTCTAATGTAGTAGTAGAAAGATTTATTTAGCACATTTGGCTACATAAACAGAACAATTGTAAACAACTTAGAACTAGTAAATTCAAGCCATATGGTGTATGATGTAAATGCTGGGCAACCTATAATTGTAGATTTAACAAGTGATTTCTCAATTTTACTTTAAATTTTGTCAAAGTTTTCTGGTCTTTTATCTCCGAGTATAATTTATTATATTCAATCAACCCTTGATGGAATACAGATTTGTAGCATATGTTATACTTTTTGGTCATTAAATGGAAGTCATCTTTATTTCTGGTATTATGTAAATGATGGTCGACATTTGATGATGTTAAATTAGTTAGACTTGATGGAAATATATTATTTTTTACTTTATAAATGAATATCATTACAAGATATTTGATAAAATTTTTTACATTGAGCCATTTTAATTTGCTAAGCATTTGCCTAATTGGAGTATATTTATCTTTATTTAGTATTATTCTCATGCACTTATTTTGTAAAATTTGCAGTCATTCAAAAATGGAATTATTTGCTAAATATAGAATAGTCGAACAGTACAAGAAATTTGGAAGAATGATGGTATTATAGATAATTTTTCTGCTATATGAACTCAGACATCCAGAAACTCTCGATAAATATCCCACTTTACTACTAATCTTATTTATAACTTTTTCATAATGAATATCAGGTATTTAAAATTTTCTACGAATTCAATATCTTCACCATCAATATTCAGTTGAACATTTGTACATTGTTTTTTTTTCGATTAACAAGGCTTTCGTTTTACTTGCATTTAATTTTAGTCTGTTAGATGCTAACCATTTTGAGACAAGCTTCAAGTCTTCATTTATATAAGAGATACCAGACTGAATATTTTTAGTACTTATATAAATCATAGTGTCATCGGCGAAAATTTGAATTTTGCATTTTTTGAAAGAAGTGGTCCCAGGATACTGCCCTGTGGAACACCCAACGTATTTCCAATTTTTGATGAAATAGTGTCATTAACTTTTGTAACTTGCATCCTTTTAGACAAATAATCTAAAACACTTCCTGTTATACCATGTGCCTTCAATTTACCTAACAAAATATCTATCAATCGTTTCAAATGCCCTCTTCAAATCCAAAAATACTGCTATGACAACTTCTTCTGAGTCTATGGCTCTTCTCCAATTCTCAGTTACCAACTGGAAAGCTGTTTCTGTGGAATATTTTTTCGAAAGCCTGCTTGCGCCTCCACTAAAATTTCGTTTTCTTCTATAAACTGCATTAATTGGTCATGCACTATGGACTCTAATAATTTTTCAATGTCTGGTAACACATTTACTGGTCTCATATCGCTGCATCTTTTAGAATTTTTTATTTTGGGAACTGGTGTTATTGTAGAGCATTTCAAATTTTCAGGGAAAGAACTGCTTCTCAGTGAACAATTGATCCAATTTAATACAGGATATCCCAAAATTTCGAAACAGTTTTTCAGCACGTTTTTAGTAGTCATTTCGGCACAGTTGTTATTTGTTTTTAATCTGTTTACTTTTTTTCTTAGATAATTCAATGATACGCTGTGAAATTTTGAAAGTGTATGCAACATTTCCCCCTGGAAACTGATTTTCATAAATGTCACAGGTCCTGAACCTAAAAATTTCCATATATCTCACCTCAAGAACCTCTACCATAAACATGTTTTTATAGGACCTCTTCATATTATTTTGTATTTCACTTTTTTTTTAGACAACATCAAAAAGGACTTCAGACCTCAACGAACCCCATAGCTTCGATCTTCGCCTGGACATGCGGTTTGGAACACAGAGGTAAACTGGACGGAACTCCGGATCTCGTAAAGTTCGCCAAGAACTTGGAAAAGGCTTGTATCGATACAGTCGAGAGCGGAAAATATACAAAGGACTTGGCGGCTTCTATCCACGGTTTACCGAACGTCAAAGAAGGAATGTACCTCAATACTCAAGACTTTTTGGATGCCATCGCGGAACAACTGAAAAAGACTGTGTAATGGATATGAAATGTATAATTTTTTAAATATAATTCCCTCGCAACTTGTTCGTGAATAATATTTTTATAATAAAGTTATTTTTCTACCAAACGCGTTTCTTTCTGAATAACTTTGCCGCGCGTGATGCTACGCGAAATATGGCAACACCGTCGTATTTGTCGGCTACCCCACTGCCGATCCCAACAAGAAGCGCCTATTACCGGCATGAAAGTCATAGAAATTCATCACTAGTTGAGTGAAGTACAGGATGGCCGAACCTGACTGGTTTGTATCTTGAATATTTGTGAATTGAAATAAATTACGTCCATTTTTTCTATCTTAATCTTAATTGAAACTTACAAATTATGTATGAAAAGTAATATCAGACAAATGTCAGCCTCTAGAAGCCGCACAAACCTGAGCCCGCTTCATTACATTTTCCATGACTTTTTGGTAGGTTAGGGAAGGAATATGTTCAATCGCTTCCGTAATATTGTTCTTCAGCTGCTCTACAGTATAGAAAAACACTGTTTTTCAAAAATTCCCATACAACATGTCAGGAGGAGTTAAATCCAGGTACCTTGGTGGTCAGTTGACATCACCAAATCGAGAAATTAAACGTCCCGGAAATGTTCGCAAAAGATTCATTGTTTCCCTAGCTGTGTGACAAGCTGCTGGAACCACATGTTTTGCAGGTTAAACTGTTGGATTTGAGGAGTCGGAAACGTGTTCATCATATCACGGTAGTGCTCGCTAGTGACAGTAAGAGAATTACCTGCAGTGTCCAAAGAAATAAAGTCCAATGACACAACCATACCAAACTGTGACTCGACGAGAATGTAGCGGTCGTTGATGGATGACACGAGGGTTCTCTAATGCCCAGATTCGACAATTCTGCTTATTAACAAATACGTTCATATCAAAGTGGGCTTCATCGTTCATTACCAGTTGTCGGTAAAAATCGTTATTTTGGGTTTTTTTTGACGGCATCAACTTCTATGGTTATTAGCCATAAATATTTTTTTTTTGGGTATTAAGCATCCCACAAACCGGCGCGAAATATTCGCTTTGGCTGCGAAAATTTCGCGGCGATGAATTCGCGATCAGATTAAAACGCGGCGGTTTACGGACAGGCTCAGACTTGTGCGAAGCGAATGCGATTGTTCCAGCGTTTTTATCGCGGCGTATTTCAGTTCGCCTTTGACCGCGTTTTTGACGCCGTTCTTCAAAAATTCGCAATGGCAAAAACGGAATTATTGATAGAAATAGTGAAAAAGTATCCTTGTTTGTATGATTTGTCGAACGATGAATACAGGAATGTGAGAAAGAAAGACAAGATTCGGATGGAAATAGGAAAAAAATTAAATACAAATGGTATGTACCTAATATTTTTTATTAACTTGTTAAATAATTTACAGTCTACACAAATGTGAAAACGAACATTCTATATATTGGGCATAGGCATATCAGATATTAAAATAATTTACGAATTTGTCACGAGTAGAAAATGCTAGCCTTGCTGCCCGCCGAGGATCATTTGCTATATCAGTAAAAGCTCCAAGCACGGGTTCTGGGGGATCTAAGAATTGAAAATATTTGTCATCGCCACTTTTACTTCGTAAAAAATTGTGTAAAACACATGCCGTACGTACAATTAGAATAGTAGTATCTACTTTAGTTTCTAATGGCCTGTAAAATATTCGCCATTTTTGAGACAAAATACCAAACGTATTTTCCACGACCCTTCTAGCTCGACAAAGTCTTACATTGTATTTCTCTTTTCTGACGTCTGTTAAAGTCTGCTTATAAGGAAATGGTCTCATAAGGTATGGTTTTAAAGCAAATGCTTCATCACCAATTAAGACGTACGAGCAGATTTCATTTTGCCCAGGGAGAAATCTAGGTGCAGGGTGCAGGGACACTCATTAAATTTTGTTCAAATCGTTTTCCCATGTTTGAGGTTTCGAAAATACCCCCATCACTATTTTTTCCGAAACCACCAATATCAACACATATAAATTTATAGTCCGGGCCAACAATGGCCATAAGTACTATTGAATATTTATGTAAATAGCACCAGTAATTGGAGCCACCGTTGTTAGGTCTCTTGATTGTTACATGTTTACCGTCCACGCTGCCAATGCAATTGGGAAATCCCCATCTATTTTCAAATTCTTCATCAGCACATTTTTTCCATATATTCTCTGTTGGTTCTGGTAAATATATATGGTCCATATGTCTGCATATCGCTTCACAGACTTCGGTTACGATTGCACTCACTGTTGTAAAGCCAACTCGAAAGCTATGCCCAATGGCATAGAAGGTGTCACCAGTGGCAAGGAATCTATAAAAAAAATCGTTTTTAGGTGATGAAGTAAAAAAAAGGTGGAAGAATATCAGAGACACATTTGCAAAATATATAAAATCTACCAAACCAAAGACAGCAGTGGGCAACATAAAAAAATGACAGTAGGCTGACTACATGGAATTTTTCCGTCCTTTTTTGGCATTTGCCAAAACGTCGTCTAATATGAAAGATATTGACGTCATACATTATGAGACTGCCGAATTTAACTCAAATATACATCAGGAAAGGGCTGGAAATGTAGAAACCGAAAATTTGGAAGACCGCGGCCATGGAGAAGATGAAAATGCTGATGTAGATGCAGAAGATGCACAGAACGCCTCGGCAACACAGACAGCACCACCTTCTTCATTGAACACTACAGCAGTGACTACTCCAGGGCACACCTTTCCGCAGACTGCAACTACACCAAAATATAAAACGAGCAGAAAACGCTATGAACCACCATCTTCGTCTGTACAACAGCTCATTAATTATTTTGAAGGTAAAAAACCTAAAAAGAGAACGAGGCCATTGATTCACTTTTCTTGGCACATGCACAGACTGTAAAAACACTTCCCTTAAAGCGTCAAGCCCGAATAAAACTAAAAATAGCCGAATTAATAGCGCACGAAGAATTTGAACATATTGAAGAAATGTCTTCAGCGTCTACCCAGAATTCTGCAAGTATGTATGATAGTAGTATGTCGTCCTTCCCAAGCGGCACTGGGTTTACTCCAATAATATACCCAACAGAGGAGGCAAATTCTGCCTCGAATTATTTAGCAACATTTAATCCTAGTGGCAACATGTAGTCCAATTATTACAATAAAATATTTATTTCACGATCCCTGAAGTTTTCGTATTCGATAAGCCTACTAATTTTTAATACATATAATTTTTTACCTGAGTGTAATAGCAAGTCGTTCTTCTGGCGAAATAGCTTCACGATAATTTGTGTCAGATTTTCGTATTTCATCTTTCACCAAGTTCAATATTTCATCGAAACACTCTGGAGTCATTCTAAAATATACGTAAAAGCGCTGTTCATCCAGCCGAAGTTGTGGCATCAAGGTATGGTATTCCCCAAATTTATTTCGTTCCAAGTTAATATCATGTACCCACTTCCTTCGTTTCCTAAACAAAATTGAAAATATTTGTTTTATGTACTTCGTTAAACTTAATACATACCCAACTATCAAATGGCGTTAAATAAACATAATTTACCGTGCATTTTGTTCCTCTTCTAAAGCAAGAAATAGAAGTGCCTCCTCTTCTTCTGAAGACGAGCTCATTGCAAAAGGCAAAAATAAAATGTACGCAACCTGTCGAAACCTTCACGTTCGCGGAGCGAATAAGACGCTTTGGTATGAATAAACAGGCGAAACAGATTGCGAATTTCGCTCTGCATTTCGTTGCGAATACTTCGCCGCGATTATTTCGCGCCGGTTTGTGGGATGCTTTATTCTCGACAACAGAAGTAAATAAACAAGAACAGATCAATGCGTCTGTTTCAGGAGCGGTGCGACATAACAGCGTCTAAATTTTAATTCGCTGCTTGCACGGTTTTTATTCGCTGCCGCAATGGCAAATACTGAAAAACTTCTCGAAATAACTGAACAATTTCCAATTCTTTACGGCTTAAGTAACAAGGACTATATATTATGACTATAAACATGGCGACTATGTAGAAAAATAGCTCAAAGATCAACGTTTCCAGTGGTGAATTCGTTTTTTCAAATAAAAAATTCCTTGTGCCGGAAAAAAAATGTGGAAACCTTATTTTTGAGACAACCCTCGTATAAACAATTATCTTCATTCGACATTTATGTTACCAGAAGTTTGGGATGTAGCAAGTCTGATGTTTCTATATGCGGATCGATGACAGTAAATTCGATAACATAAATAATGTAAAAATAAGTTGCAAAATATTGTTCAACCAACAAACAAGTTACAATTATTTCTTATCATTCGAATTACTCTAGTCTGGATGATATAATCTAACATCATGATTATTAAAAAATAATTATGCATCCAATAATTCATTTAGAAGGTTTTTAATGTTTTGAAATGATGGAGATTTTTGTAACATAAAAATGTATCATTTTATTGCCTGAATAGATAAATAATGTTATCAATTCAATAAATTATGAAACAGTGCACCAAATTTCCACCTGTCGATATATTGCAAAGTAAAGCAATCAGCTAAGAAACCTCAAACGGTTCCAATGTTTGAATGAACCTCGGCATCTTGGGTCTGTTTTTGGACTTGAAATAGTTTTTTCAATCTTATCGTGCAAGATAAAATGCATTAACCTAAATATACCTCATGAAGGCAGTTCAAGGTTAATTTGTTTGCGTACGTTTAGATAACTTGCGTGGTTTCATCATCAGGGTATTTATTTTTATTGGCTGCATTTGTTTCCAAACTTTCGTCTGCTACTGTATGTACATACATATTATATTATACATATAGTCAAAATCACGAAAGATGACTATTACGTCATCCCAAAAATTGTACTGAAGTAATCAATGGACGTACGTCGATGATAAAATCACGATGTCAGGAACATAATGACAACAAACTTATATTATAATTTTGCGAAGTTAGGTTATTTCTCAGATTATTTTTATATTCATTTTATTTCATGGTTTTAAGTGATACCTTAATAATTTTAGTGGGGAGTTTTTGTAAAAAAAAACTACAGTTATGAGTAGAATACCTCAAGACAGGAACACCAAAGACCAAAGTATTATTCGAAATCAA